TTAGTTATTATTGTATAATAATAATAATAAACCTGGACAATATACATAGCGACATCTACTCCCAAGCTAAGCAGAGCTTAAATTATATGGGTACTAGACAACTGATATAAATACTTAAATACATTTATAATGTACATAGATCTCCCAGACCAATACAAACAATCATCCTCATGAATACAAATGTTTGCACCGTGCAGGGAATTGAATCCGACCATCTGTAGTGTGCGCTAAAATTCTAGACCTAGATATTAATTTTGGAAACATAGATTATTCGCAAGAGAAATTATGACAATGGTTTAAACACAAAAAACTTTTGGCAGTACAATTGTATAAAAAAAATAAACCAGACAATTGTAGTTTTCAATCGTTTATAAATTAACTGCCATATTCCGCAATGATTGGTCGTGTCAACAAAGTTATCACAGAATCTGTTGTTCTGCAGCTGTATAAAAACTGGTAAGCCTGCAAGGGGTGGGAATGAGGGAAGCAGGGCGGCAATTTCACGAGCCAGTGGCGCGAAAGGGCTGATTGGAAAGTCCTGATCACAGCGCGATTGAACCAAACACGCTGTAACAATGTGCAGTTTTTCATTTATAACCTCACAGGCAAAATTGATTTTTATTCATATGGCTTGAAGTAGCAAAATTGAATTTTGATAAGCTACCGAGGTAAACTGTATAAAGAGTTGTCTGCTGTATCTTACCCCTCCTATCGTTCCCGGTCCAATTTAAACGGGGATCGCTGCCCTCAGACTAAAGTCGTATCCGTCAGGCGGGAGTTGACCTTCAACTGCTCCTTAAGTCCTTTCGCATGTTTAGAATACCATCTGCATTCGCCCCCTATCGTTCAGTGAAGCTGTAAAGGCCTGCTGCAGCCAACAGAATTAGAGTAATACGAAAAAAAAAGTATCTCTTAGTCTCACCTATTTCGACCGCGAAGCAGTTAGAGATTGCGAGTTCGATTCCTCGCAGTATACAAATATTGTATTCATTAGTATGATTGTTTTTATCTGGGTGTTTTCTATATATATTATGTATGTATTTTCTAAAAATGTATCTGTATATATCTGTCAGTTGTCTAATACCTATGATACAAGTTCTGCCTAGCTTAGGACTAGGTGGCGCTATGTGAAGTATCCAGCAGATGGTTGACAGCATAAGATCGTCCTGGTACTGGAATTTGCTCGCAATGGGATAAAATTTCTCCATCAGCGCATAATTTTCGAATAACTATCAAGTACTTACCGATTTCTAAACATACAAAGAAATAGCTTTTTGAATAAAACAATCTTAAACTATATTTAGTAGGAGTTTTATTATTTATCGTACACTTACAAACTCGATTTGCGCTCTCGAGAATTATTTCCTCATTGTACACTCCACACGCAAATAAACTGTGAAAAGTGGATTCTACGTGTCATGTAATTCAACGAGGGTGGAAACATGTTTTATATCTTACATCTACCTATCACAGATATGAATTTAAATAGATGACGCAATTGATATTTTATTAGCGTGACGAATTGTTAAGGAACTTCTAAGAGTGATAACTGGCTAAATTGACCCGGACGAAATTACATTTTCTGATAAAATAAATTTGGGATTACCTCACTAAAGGCATGAAATGTTACAAGAAAAGAGTGAAATATATTAATGTATATAAATATTCTGTCTCAATATTTTATATCAAAGACGAGTTTACCGCCCCGGCTTCACACGAGTGTACAAGTAGTATACATAAGAGCCTTCCTCTTGAATCACTCTATCTATTGCTAAACTGCAGTAAAATCCATTGCGTAGTTTAAAAGATCTAAGCGAACAGACAGAGGCAGCGACTTCATTTCATATTATATCGAAATGAGCAATTCAAAATCAATTCAGAATAGACCCTGTTTTGTAAAATACACGTGACAAAATAGCATTTGGTCTTCGTTATCTTTGAATACGATTGAAAATCACAGAATGATAATATAAAATAAGATAATGTATTACACAATGCACTACAGCGACAATACAGCCTGCTGTTACTTAAACATGCAATGACGCGTGTACAACAAGGCAACTAGACAACAGACAACGCCGGATGGCGTTGCCGAGTCGATGCAACTTGAATGAAACGCGAGATAGTTTTGTGAGCTCAAACAGCGCTGCATTTATAGAGTTGAGTGGTCACGGCTGGTCGACGAAACGTCGAGAGAGGTAAATACCTTTATTTACCATAAAATTATTTGTGCTAAAACCCGCTTATCTGGAATGAAACTGGATATAGTTTTGTGAGCTAAAACTGCGCTGCATTTATAGAGTTGAGTGGCCACGGCTAGTCGACGAAACGTCGAGAGGTGCAGGTACTAAGCACTGCTGTGCCAAACTGTGTCACCCCACCTTCAATTTTCCCATTGTTATTTAGTATATAAGATCATTATTTCTATGTACATACTGTCAGTCTATTATCATCTGTAATATACATCGTCTCGACCAACAACATCGATCATTCACCCGCAACAAGGAACTCGCAACAAATCCGTTTAACTGTATTAATAAGTAAATCTATGCCTTTACAATGCGTCAATAAATTTATAGTCCAATATTCAGATAGTAGAGAGCTAGGCACAGCTATTAATACTGAAAACATGGGAACGAGGTTCTAATTGGACTAATAGCATTGGACCAAACGCGCAACTCCTATCCAATCAAGTTGAATTTCCGTTCAGTTCGTGTATATAGAATGTAGTACCTCTAGAAGCGATTTCGTGTATTTATTTCCTGTTTTTCTAAAAATTTACGCCCCACCGTGGTCATGTATGTCGTTTTACGTGAAGATACTTACTTCTGCTCGCGGCTTGTCTGCGTATTGACTATTTACTGGAATTCAAGTTTATTACATGTAAACTAACAGTTTCTTGTTTGAGAGAAATAAAACTTTTCTCATCTGTTTTTTATATAAAATGTATAGAACATTTTCCCAGACATCAGGAATATAATCAATGATCACGTCAAATTTCATTAAGATCTATGTAGCATATATTACAAATAAAGTTAAAATGTTTTTCCTCAAAACTAATGTTGTAAGTTTAAACAAATTATTTGAAAACCTAATTTAATAAAAAAAAGTCATTGCTATGTAATAAAAATACAACAAAACTATAACAACACTTGTCTCATGCATATTTATATAAGAATAACAACAACTTAACCATTTTAATGTTGCAGTTTAATCTGTTGCATGAACTTTATATACAAAAAAACCTACGATAACAACAAAGGAAGCAGTTGTCACATCCAGATTTTGCAATCTCCGGCCTGCTATAACCCCGAACACTTCTGTTAGTAACTGCATGCGACAGGAATATCCTCTGTTTATCTCATTTTACGGCAGTGGGTCGTTCGATCGCGGGTAATCGCGGATAAACATCTGCCTTTACGCTTTATTCTCTCGGACTACTCAGCTATTGATACTGTTTGTCATGATAAATCTTTTATTGTATATCCCTTTTATTATTTGACGACCTCGGTGGTCTGGCGGTTTAAAACTGCCTTACTTTCGAAAGTAAGGTTACGAGTTCATTTCCTCGTACGATACAAACAGTTGTATTCATGAGTTTGACAGTACAAATACTGTTTTCTATGTGTATTATGTATCTATTAAAAAAAAGAATGTATTTAAGATTTATATCGGTTGTTTAGTACCCATAACAAAAGCTCTACTTAGCTAATGCTATCAAATGGCGTTTTTAGTCTGAATTCTAGAAGGGTTTCAGTGAAACTCTATCTGAAGGGTCGGCATTGCGAACGTATGTCCCCTAGTGTTGATGCGTCCATATGCTACGGAAACACTACCATCAGATGAGCTATATGCTTGTCATCATCTAATCAAAAAATAATAAAAACAATGACACAATTTCTTTAAATTTCTCTCCTTTTGAATAAAATCAAATTAGCCAGAACAATCCACGATTTGACTAATTTTGCAAGAAAAATAATATAACCAGTAATTTTATTTTCCCATACAAACAGGTTATACCTGCCAAAGAGGTTGAGTGAAAAAAAATATTTTACGATTTAATACTACGATATTATTTAATTCTGAGGCGGCGTGAACTTCGCCGGGTCGGCTTGTTGATGATAAATATCCTCATCCCTTACACTCGAGAATGGGTCAAGCATGTGGGCACTTGTCTATTCAGCTTATGACTACTGATTATATTATTTTATGCTGATGGTAGTCTATAATATTGTACTAGGGGTCTATAATTCTTCAATAGACACCATTGGATCGATACAATAAAAATATCTCGCCGTTCCTTTTCTCCGTGTACTTGTAATTTAAAACTAATTTTCTGCCTAATAGTAAGTTATTAAATCTTATAGACTTATTAATGAAATAGTTATAATGAAGACATATATATATAAATGAAAATAAAATTATTTTTACTTTATACATTTTTCTTTGAAGTAATATTATTTTTGATCATTTTACATTTTTTGTAAAACGGAACGCAATTGTACGCTGACAGAAATGAGTGACTGGTTTCTGTATATTATCTGTGGGGAATACGTAATGAACTTTAGGAATGATTTAAACCACAATCATTTAGACCACGTTTCGTCGAGTTCTAACAGATTTTTTGTAAAAAGACCGTTCAGGTTTTGTGTAATTAGAATAGCGGGCCTTATGTTAGACTGTGGTAACCATAGACAGTATGCACCATCATAAAAACTTCAAAATACTTTATCAACCCGTTACCATTTCTAAGAACTTATTAGTTGTATTCCTACCATATTATTTCCCTAACATAATACACTATTTAGATTGAAAGATAGCTTACAAAAATCTGCTTGGCGGCAGTAATAAGTGAGAAGTGTCTGAAAGTCTACTCGCACCTAGGTAAAAATGTAAACGCTAAACAAGAAGTCTACTAAGTATACTGAATCCTCTATTTGAATATATATACATATATTTATTGGTGAGATTGCTAATATAACTTTCTTTTCTTGTTCCAGGGGCTTCGGTAAACAAGGCTTCCAGTGTCAAGGTGAGAATGACTTAACTGATACTAAATACACATTTCATTTCTTCTTGATCTTAATAAATTTTTAAAATAAAAGTAGCCTAAGTTACTCCTTATTGCATCAGCTACCTGACAAAAAAGTCTCGTCAAAATCGATCCAGCCATTTCAGAGATTAGCCGGAACAAACAGACAGACAAACGAAAATTGTAAAAAATGTTATTTTGGTGTATCTACCGTATTTACATTCTTATGCATGTAGTAAAAAACGGTTATTTCAATATTACAAACAGACACTGCTTGTATAGAAATCTGTAGATGCTATATTTATAGCAAACAGAGTCTGTTGAGGATCCTAACAAAGTTGACAAAGGTAGCACAAAAATTGATAATATTAATTTTGATATATAATTAATAGAGTTTATTAATAATTAATAGAGTACCTGTTTAATAATCCTAACATACTAATATCCAACATAGGTTAAAACAATATTAACTGTGTATGTAGATGTAGTGTTTTGTCATTTTTCTCAAATGAAGTAAATAACTTAAGTAGTAAGAAAAAAACTGACATAAATACTACATACGACTTTGTACTCCTTACTCCCGTTTTTTACAGTATATTATTTATAAATATATTATTAAATTAACTGTCATTTTGTAGAAGTCTATTCATTTGCCCCAGGGCCCTTGGTTACCTAACTACGCCACTGATCATCAGACATTGAATACATCTGGGATATAGCTAGGAAGAGTAGTGTTGACTGTTCCACGCATTTTCAGTTAGTCACCGAACAGTCAACACTAGGCTTCCAAGTTATATCCGAGCTCTATCTCTCCAATAGATAAACTATAGTCGTAACGTTTCCAGTAGCGGTGGTCAGGTTTCCGCACTGATTATTTGTGGTCTCACACATGCTAATGGTAGCGGAATTAAACAAAATAATATAAATTCCTTATGTAATAATACTTTATGTATTTAAGTAATATATTTATGTTGCAGTGTGCAGTTTTGTGGTACACAAACGATGCCACGAGTACGTGACGTTTACGTGTCCCGGCGCGGACAAGGGCGCCGATTCCGACGTAAGTATTGTTTTCATCCATTCATATTTCTTTTTTTTATATGAAATAATAATAATGCTTTATTTGTACAACCACAACATTAATATATAATAGCTGAAGTTAGTTAGCTAGGTAATGAAATGGCAGAAAGTTGCGCAATACAAAATGAGGACCCTAATAACCTAAACTAGGTATTAGGTACACCTGTACATAGGTATCAGTGAAAGGTATCAGTATAAGTATTCGAGTCTCGACTCCATACTGGCAAATATCTTGTAGATGATGGATATGATGATGATGATGAAATAAGCGAATGATATACCTGGCATTCTAACAGTGATAATTAACGATGAAATTATGTCACGTAGCCCAGTTTGGTAAATACAAAGTAACAATGCTTTTATTTGCAATTACTTTTTTGACCTACTGTGGCGACCGCAATGACTTCCAGAAATCAATGTTTATATCATTTTATTTATCGTATGGAATAATCTTCAAAAGATCTCCGCCGGAAAGGTGAAGAGATGGTTTAAGGGTTTCTTACCCACTGGAAACAGCCTGCGAGCATCATGGTCGGAGTCACGAGGTCGCGTTAGCACATCAATATTAATACTAAGAGCACTTGGTGTCAGATTAATGTGTGACCACACAAAGGAAAATAGTAAATAAGATATAAAAATAAATTACAAGCATTTAACTACATATTTGCATACTCTTCATACACTTTCAGTATAAACAGCTCTATTATTTAAAACAATTAAACAATTACACTAATAAGAAGTAACTAATTAACTAGCAAAGTGATTAAAACGCAAATTAAATGTAATAAGACCCATTAGCTTGTTAGAATGAAACAATGGTGGATAATAAGTAATTCGTATACAAATATGACGGCACTGAACAATGCGAGTAGAAAATGATCCGGAGAAATTCACAAAAACATAGTTGTTTGTAACATAATTATACAATAATATAGCAAATTTATAAGTAAATTATTATTATTATATCCAACACGCGACATCATGCAGTGTTTAGTTATTTATTTATTATCCTAAATATGCAAGCATTTTAAGGTTCTGTTATAATTAGAATTGTCTGTTAATTTACTTCTCTTTGATTTTGTGTTTTACAAAATATTTACAAACAAATTCTTGAAAGAAATTGAAATCATTTCATTTCGTTTTAACTTTTTTCGTACGCCAAATGTTTCATTAAATTAGTTTGAAAAGAAGTGACTTGACTCTGATAGTTAAAATTTGTTTCTACTTTTTATAAATAAAGATGGAATATGGATATATATATATATATATATATATATAGATATTAATAATACGCGAAACAAAAACTTTTTACCCCTTTTTAGGAAAATTGCGCTTACGGAAGAGTATGGAATCGCACACTTATAGCATATATAAATAAAGAGTGCAGAATGCTAATATTTTATTAAAATTATGCATTAAAAATACATTAAATCAATAAAAAAACATTATACACAATACCAGGTATTTCACACGCATGCATGTCTACTCTTCTGTTTATTGTTAAAGTCTGTAGTCATTTGTCTATGGTTTTGTTGTCTATAGACTGAATGTTAAATTAATTATGGTCTAATTTCGACCACTGGGCGACCAGTAGATTAAATAAATATGTAATGTTATTAGAAAATTCATCGGTTTTCATGCTAGTTAGTCAAGTTGTCAGCTGTGTATGTTCATATTATTTTCTATCTATTCTGTCAACAACAAGTCGTATCAATAACAAAATAATTTATATAAACCATGAAATATGTATAACATATAATAAACCTCATCTACGTAGTCTGAGATCCTCATCGCGCTGCATTTAATTAAACTTGCCTCTCAGAAACACGAATTCCAAGTTTCTGTGTGTAATCCAAACTGAGCATGCCGCTATGGCATCTCTCCAACTAATGAGGTATTAGTTAATTACTTTAATAGCCGAAAATGTATTAAGGGCCTGTCATGTACTTACATCTTCATTACGTTACTCTTTTGTTTTGTATTGTTTTTTACAAAGCTTAGAATTCTTTGAAAATTCTATAATTTAAAAATTTCTTCTTTTATACTCACGTATATTTTTTAAATATAATATCACTACATTACATAGATTACTTCATTCTTTTTACTCAATAAAATCAAAATTGTAAAGTAACTTCATGATTATTACGATACATGTTATCTCTAGGAGGGCACCGGTGTCTGAGATATAGTCTTGGCCTAGTTTAAACACTAAAGTACTGAATATAGTGGTAAATGGTTTCTCAAGAATAAGTTATTATACTTGCATTATATAGGTACCTACCTATTGATTATAAAAACCTAGTAGAGTCTACAGTTGTAACTATTTCTATGTGCAATAAACGTTATAATTATATATTACACTGTCATTATTACACGGTACTGTATTTCACACATAATAAATTACAAATACACAGTTAGTACAAAATACATTATTATTGCACTCATATAAAACAGATTTAAGTAAAATGTTAGATGTGGATGTATCACAAACGAAACAAAGGTCAGGCAACCGTCATTCCGAGTGGCACGTGAGGACGCAATTTCAGAGTAAGCAGAAACTACTTACGTTGGATTCTTTGTGGGCAAAGGGACTGTAGCCGAGGTAACATTTATTAGATCCAATAAAGCCATTCCTGTACAACAAACAAAAGTGACAAACAAACATAATTACATTTCTCGAGAAGGAAAATATATATTGTTGCGATTGAAACGTAATCTATGTGGAAGAATATCGTCAAATTACGCCATTTATGAAACAGACAAACGTTTGGAAGATTTAATGAAAATTACATTAATTCTTTAATAAATACAGCATTATTGTCAATCAATATATGCATGTATTCAGTAAGTCATCTAAACACATTACCAACAGGACACTCGTACCCGGCACAACTTCCGCAATCACACATACTCGTCACCGGCGTTCTGCGACCATTGCGGGTCGCTGCTCTACGGCCTCATCCATCAGGGCCTCAAATGTCAAGGTACAACGCCAGGAGATCAGCTTCGACGGCTCAACTTCAATCTGCTAATACGCTTCTTCTAACGCTTTGTGTGTGCTCTTAGCTTTTCTTACTTTTTTCAGATTTATTGGTGGTGGTTATTTCATGCTAATGCTTGTTGTTTTTTTTTTTATTTACTTTATGTAGACTTCTCAACTCTTCAACTACAATATTAGAATATTTATCGGACTCAAATTACACGACGTTCCTTCCTTCTTCGGAAGTCTGTATATCGAATCCATTTCCACAAATTTGCAAGTAAATTGCGCGCCCCTGGGGCGAATCTGTTCTTGTTTTGTATTAATAATAATTTATTGTTACTAAGGCCGCCTACGCGCCCCACAAATGGAATACATGGACCTTCCTAGCTCCAACGTTTTGTGACCATTGTGGTACAATGCTACACGGTCTCGCACATCAGGGATATAAATGCGGAGGTACAAATGATACATGATTAGATTGGTGAACTTGCAACAAACCACGGAAATTAGTTCCTGGGGTCCCCTGTAGCGATATGTATATTAAACGATTTTGCCTGAATCGTCACTGGTTGTCGTTGATTCACTCAATATGTTCCTATATAGCCAGTATTCGTTATATGGTAACAATGAAACAAATGATTACGTATAAATGTATGGGTGTGCATATAAATCTGATAATAAATAAATAGATTTTGTTGTATATATTCGTTGTCGTGAAACAATAGTTATTAATTCCCTTTGCACGTTCAATAAGAAATTTATAGAGCGATATTCTAGCGTAATCCCATTTATTATTAAATTAATGTATCTAGTAAATACTCCAACAAGTCCAGGCAATTTAATTAACGTTGGCTGAATGGCCGGTGAAGCGCTTATTTTCCATTTATGCAAATTTAGTAACTGTGTCGTCCGCATTGGATTTAATATTTTATAACTTGCATATCAATTTGCTTTGAATGCTAGTCGAGTGTCTTCTGCACGCTTTGTTATTACTGAAGTAGACGTAGTTAGTTTTCTGTCAAGTCGCATTTGTTCCTGTCTCGTATAACACAGTAAATGGAGCGTGGCTGTGGTGACAAAGTACCTCGTTAAAAGTATTACTACAACATTTTATGTGCGTTAGGAAAGTAAAATGCTAATATCCGATTTATTTCCGTATTGTTTACACATATTTAAAATTTATTACTCTGTCTATGTTACATATACGATACCATTGAAGTATCAAATCCAGCTACGCTTCAATACAAAAATAAATAAACTATTTTGTATCTTTAAATGTTTCCTAATGCCATAAATCATTGACTGTTAAATAATAATCTAATTAATTCAACAATTAATTTAATACATTGGCCATAATATTAAAAAATTACAATATGAATACGTTAGGAAAACCAAGTTTAAAACCAAAGCACATTGCCTATTTCCAAAGAATTTCAAAAGAAACAATCAGGAAAGTTTAGTCATAGCAACAAGTTGTTTCTATAATTTCATAATTAGTATTTACTGGCTCCTCACGGAACTTCACCCGTGTCGCTCTGATTGAATGTAGGTATATAAAACTACGTTATTTCATTAAAGCTAAACGTAAAGAGAAACTAAAACCTTAATTAATATTGAATTTCTTGATATGATCGCTTGCTATATTGCTTTTCAAGTATTACATTGTTTTTTACTACACTATGAACACGAACAGTTTAAATTGTATGAAATACAAATAGTAGCCAGTACTTTCGTATTTTACTTACTGCTCTAATGAAAAGTAATGGATATCGAATCGAATACAGTCGAGTAAATTGACGTTTGAAATTAAATTCGTTTTATTTAACAACGTTCACTTGTTTGTATTTATTTGTATTGTATACTTGTATACTTAAATGTAACTGTTGTAATAAAAGCTAACAAGTCTTCCGAAAATGTGTATTTCAATGTTTGAACAGCTTAGCTTAGCTTATCTTTTGCACCACCTTTGCATTGTATTGTGTGTATTTATTAGAGCCCAAATCTCACCTATTTAAAATACTAGCACCAAATACTTATAGCACCCAAATATAATGGAAAGTATCTATATACGATCCGTAGCAATTCAGCGTTAGTAGGTACCTACTGATAAAACAGAATATCTTATTCTAAAGCACTCGTGTTTCGGATGAAAATATGATTCTGTATTTCTTATTATAAAGAATTTATTCCCATGACCATGATACATTGGTTGCCTGTGTTGCATTAATATGCAACATCGATATTCCAAATGTAATTTTCATCAATATATATATACTAAGCAAAAAGTAACTTAAAAATTACAGCTGAATTATAATTGATAATTATTATTATTATTTATTAATTTCCATTATATTTGCTAGTGAGTTTCAACGTCCATATACTTGTTGTCTATCTCTTTCAATATTTATGTGTAGTTATGATAAGCATCTTAAAAAGAATTGTTATTATTGATTTTCCAAACTTTTGCACCTACAACTATTGCACTGATTTTGTACAAATTAACTTTATTTAACGTAGTATTTTAATTTGTGTCTATAACTTCTTTTAAGTGCTATTCTTGCATGACTTCTATTAAGGCGTTCTTTCCGATGATGTAAGTACCTATTAAAGTGTCTTAAAGTTTTAGTAATTATTAAAAATTCTGATAATCTCTTATTTTCAGTATGTTATAAAATTTATTCAATGAAGTATTTATTTTGACTATAGTTTTTAGATTTTATTTTATAAAAAACGCCTATACCGTTTTTGATAATAACTGCTGGTTCTAATAGGCTTATAAAACCAATTGTCTGCTACATTTTAGTACTGCAAATACAGCCATATGAAGTTCTGAAAAAATAATAAAAAAATACGGTACTCACATGTGTACATGTTACAGTAAAAACGTAACATATCAAAATCACTTATGACTGAAATGTAAAGCAAAAACTACTAAATGCATTTTAATGAAACTTTACAATAATATACTTAAAAATAGCACATGACCTATAAATTTCACGCTGGGCAAACCATGGGCAACAGCTGTTTAGAATATGAGTATTGATTAGATAGTTTCATGTAAATATTGTGGAATGCAGCATGCGACATGAACGTTCACAAGAGATGCGAGGAGTCTGTGCCCAACTTGTGTGGCTGCGATCACACGGAGCGGCGCGGCCGCATACAGCTGGTCATCTCGTGCCAAGGGAACAAGCTCACCGTGGAAGGTACTAATACCGTTTTTAATCATAGTTATATTAAGCGGTACATGCGCTGAATTCAGCCTGCTTTACTCTTTGACAATGTTGGACAATGCTGGATATATCGTCAATCATTTGTAACTACAACTGATAGCAAATTTTTTGTATCTTTATTTGAATAAATATCTTATCACATATATTACAATTTATGTATACAATCTGACGCCAAATTATGTAATTTGGCTTCTATTATTTGGACTTACATTTCATTGAACCTCTGCGTGGGTTCTTAGAGGCGAGGACACTAGAAGAAAGAATAGAGGTAAAATTACCTGTAATTACCTGTTAAGGAAAATTCCAGAGAAATAAGATTATGTAGGGCAACTAAATTCTCGGGAATGACAATACATGTGGGGTATCACGGGCTTTACATGATGATATGTTATCCGTGGTTCTCTTTATATATATACCCGACGGTTGCCACTTACCATCAGGTGTGCTGTAAACTTGTCTGCCATTCCAAGCACTTAAAGAAATAACTAAACTTACTGAATTCAGTACATTATTCATCATCATCTGCTTCTTCCTTATCCCATTTATTTGGGTTCAACATAATATGTTTTTCTCTTCCATTTATCCTTGTTGTCAATCATCTCGTTATGTATATCCCTTACCATATTATCTTTCACACAGTCCATCCATATCTTTTTCGGCGGCTATATTTATAATGGCAATAGGAAGACCTATTGCCATTATAAATATAGTACATTAGTGGTTTCTTACATTGCAGTGAAGCAAGGTCGCAACCTGATACCAATGGACCCGAACGGCCTATCTGACCCATACGTCAAGATGAAGCTCATCCCGGACTCCGACAACGTCAAGAAAAAAACCAAGACCATCCGAAGCACTCTCAACCCGGTGTGGAACGAGACATTGTCCTTTGATCTCAAAGCTGAAGATAAAGACCGTAGACTACTCATTGAAGTGAGTGACTTATTTCGTATCCTCGAATTTTATCCGTCTCACTCTTATAGTATAAGAGCGAGTGTAACAACAACAGATGGCTGGGACAGCTATAAATCTTTAACCGGAGCTTCCTTTTCCCTTTTTCGCCTAAATCGAAGCGGTCCCAATGGGATTACGTAGTTTTTTGTCATCTCAAAATTCAGCAATAGCTATATCTAAACTTTTATTAGATTTCATTGTTTATACTCTCTAGAGTTTTTATATGAAATAGTAGTCACCTATTATTAAGTGTATTTATTTTAATGGATGATAGTGGTGCACCCGCTCTTGCTTACGGTTTAAGTTGGCGTGGCACCAGTGAACAAACGAAGCATGAGGTCAAGTCAGTTAGCCCATCTTTACTATTTCTTACTATTATTACTTGGTTTATTTAATACTCTTCTCTGAGTCTGACTACAAATATACAAATGACTTGGTTCACTTAATACACAAGACAAATTTACTGAGAATTAATACAATAGTTTCCATGTGGAACCGCGTAGAGCTCAACCTGATGTGGAATGTTGCTAGCTATAAAGTCATAAGTCACATTACCGACAATCCCCTTCCTCTATGTGTAATTGTATTAACGTTGGCAATAAATAGATTTATTTATTATTATTACTTTAAAAAATAATCTTCTTAATTCTAGGTATGGGATTGGGACCGTACATCTCGCAACGACTTCATGGGATCCCTTTCTTTCGGCATCTCCGAGCTGATGAAGGCACAAGCCGAGGGCTGGTTCAAACTCCTCACCCAAGAGGAAGGGGAGTTCTACAACGTCCCGGTCCCCGAAGAGGGTACTGATCTCGCCCAGCTGAAGACGCAGATGAGGGCAACTAGCGTCGGCGCTCGTAGGGCTCCACCCCCGCCTGATAGAGAGGTCCCACACAACATGGCTGCCGCTGATGTCATCAGAGCATCCGATTTTAACTTCATAATGGTGCTCGGCAAGGGATCTTTCGGAAAGGCAAGAGACAATTTATCTTTTTATAACTTACCAATTTTACATTTAAAACCGCAGTATAGCTTACAAAAAAATGTAGTAATTTAATACTCAATTAATATTTGTAAACTTCATATAAGCAGATTTTGGAAGGGCCATGTCTTCATTAAAATCTTGTATTGTACCTGTTCACCAATAAATCCATTATTATTAAAAAAAAGTAAATTGCTTGGATGAAATAGGTGACACAATGGTACCTCAACAGATGACTATCCGCCATTTTGGAAAGAAAATTATTTATTACAAATATGCGCGAATCCACACACGATGAAGTACGTGAGAATGCGTGAGAAGGCGGCGCGACCATTTTCTTTATACATTTCTTAGTCTACCTTTACATGGACACTCTTCTATATGAAAGTTGGTTCATCTATGAAAGTTTGTCCGTGTAAAGACAGCTATTAGGACGGACATGAGCTATCCATTAGGTTAACATTAAGTCAACTTTAATGTTTATTATGAAATTTGAAGATATATTGTGTGATAAAGACGAACATAGGACTATCTTGTAAGAAGAAAAATAGGAAGGGGTGAAATAGAAGTTGGAAGTTTATACAGACACTCTCAGGCTGGAAGTCTCGAGTAACCGTTATTATTATAAATGCGACTTTGGCTGCCTGATTGTTACATTTTAACGTCTAAATTACTCACTAAATTTGACGTGAAGATACATTACACATATCATGTGGTCAGACATTTGCTGTTTTATCTCAAAAACTAAAAGAAGTTACAGGTAAAAACCAGTATACAATAAAAAATCATTCACTGAAATTATTACTGTGTAATTTTCAGGTAATGCTAGCGGAACGTCGTGGTACGGACGAATTGTACGCCATCAAGATTCTAAAGAAGGACATCATCATACAGGATGACGACGTCGAGTGCACGATGGTGGAGAAACGGGTGCTGGCACTCAGCACCAAGCCACCGTTCCTCGTGCAACTGCATTCTTGCTTCCAGACCATGGTGAGACCATTATTATATATTTTTCGTATATATACGGCATAAAAGTATGGTATATACCATAAATTTATTCTAAAGAGGTTATCTTATCCAATAGCATAGAGGTTTAAAAATACCACAGCGCTTATCGATGGTAGCGATGTCGATTACGACTTATAAGTACAGTTTGTGCTAATGTTGTATTTTCTTGTGAACTGTGAACGTTATGTATTTTCTATGTCAGTGTTTTATTGCATTTAGAATTTTTTTCGGACTACTCTAATGTTGTTGGCCGCAGCTGGCCTTTACAGCTTCTCCGATAGATAGGGGGTGAGTGTAGATGAGCTCTAAACCCGCGGAAGGACTTATGGAGCGGCTGAAGGCCAATTACCGCCTGACGGATACGACTTTAGTCTGAGGGCACCGCTAGGGGTTCAAACCTCGGCTCAGGCCGTCGTAATTTCGATCCCCGTTTGAGTTGGACGGGATCCATCGAATGGGAAAGTACAAATGTCTATCATATTAATGTATTAAAAATTCTTACTTGGACTACTGACGCCATACGCAGTTATCTTCCAACTAAATAATTGCAATTTAATACAATAAATATTTTTAATGAAAATTTAGAAATTGTTAATCTCTTACTTATAAACGTGAAAGTTTGTGAGTATAAATGGTTAGATGGATGGTTGGATGTTTGTTACTCTTTCTCCAAAAAACTACTATCCGGATTTTGACGAAACTTTACAGCTAATACCTACATCAGAATAACGTATAGGCTATAAATTTCACAACACAGGCACAGCTTGTAGTCTATAATTTAAGAAGATGTTATGTAAATTGCGTGAAATATAATGATAAATGTCAAGTAAGTGTAAAAGCAAACGAAATTGCTAAGGGCCAGTTAGAATATTATAACTGAATCTCTCTTCAAATATAGTAGTCTTGATATAATACAACGTATACTTATTATATGCATATATATCAGTTTCATCCACATAGAAAATCTCTATATAGTTTCGTATCTATGTAAATGTATTTATAGGGTTTATGTAATATTATTTGTTAATATTTATCAAGAACGAAAATTAATTACTATAGTATCTAATTGAGGAGATATTTAAGTACTGTTAATTTACAATTTTAATATTGTAATATTGATTTTTATTTATTTACAATATAATTTATAGAACTGCAATTTAAGAATGATTAAATTATACTTGTCAATTTCAGGACCGGCTATATTTCGTAATGGAGTACGTGAATGGCGGTGATCTCATGTTCCAAATACAGCAGTGTGGGAAATTCAAAGAACCTGTAGCCGTGTAGGTTCACTTGATACTCTTCTCTGAGTCTGACTACCAATATATAAATTACTTAGGTTTACTTAATACTGTTCTCTGAGTCTGACAACCAATATATAAATTACTTAGGTTTACTTAATACTGTTGTCTGAGTCTGACTACCAATATATAAATTACTTAGATTTACTTATCTATGCTCTGAGTCTGACTACCAATGTAGGTATAAATTACTTGTATGATATAAAAAAGGAATAATTCTAAATTAAAATTAATTTAGCTATTTGACTGCAACTTCTCCTCCTTCGAATGGAATACAGCAAACAAGCAAGAAATGCACAAAATCATTTAATGTATTCTCAGTCTGATTTATTTTAACGTTATCCTCTGGTATATTTTAACATTTATCTGTAGTAAAATTTTAAAATTACCTTAAAAAAACTTGAACAATTTACCTTTGGTAAATTTTAACAATTACCTTTAGTATTTTAATAGTTCCGTCCAGAGATTTATAACAATTTTCTCCTTCTTTTTTAAAGATTTTACGCATCAGAAATTGCCATCGGATTATTCTTCCTCCACTCTCGTGGCATCGTGTACCGAGACTTGAAGCTCGATAACGTACTTCTAGATCAGGATGGTCACATAAAAATTGCTGACTTTGGCATGTGCAAGGAAGGTATTACAGGTGACAAAACAACAAAGACCTTCTGCGGCACGCCAGATTACATTGCGCCGGAGATCATTTTATACCAGCCGTATGGGAAATCTGTTGACTGGTGGGCGTATGGAGTGCTGCTGTATGAGATGCTCGTAGGACAGCCACCTTTCGATGGAGAAGATGAAGAAGAACTGTTCGCAGCCATCACGGACAATAGCGTGTCATATCCGAAGACACTGAGTAAGGCAAGTGTATATTTTTAATTAAATTTTCGGTTTTAGGAACCACCTGATTACTCCACTTTTAAAGATTTTAAGAATTTCAGTAAATAAGTCGTATATTGACAAGATTCTGACCAAGAAGTGATAATGGCAACATTGTGTTTAAATTTTTAAATTACAAGAATTTTAGGTTATCAGTACCACTAAGTATCTGGTTAATATTTCCATTACGATTAATCTTGTATATTCATTACTAGCCCCGACTTTGTTCGCGCAGCGCACGCAACGAAAGCCCTCAAAAATGAATAATTTTCCTCGTTTTTGCAACATATCACTGATGCTTCGCTTCTATTGGTAGCTTAATGTTATATAGTTTTAAGCTTTCCTCGACAAATGGCCTATCCAACATAAAAATAATTTTTCAATTCCATCCAGTAGTTCCTAAGACTCGCTCGTTCAAACAAACAAACCAACAAACTCTTCAGCTTTATAATATTAGTATAGATTTCCCTATCCTAAACCCGTTGATTGAACATCATATTACATTGGTATATTTATCATATTTTTGTTCTATAATTGGTGCAATAAAGAGTTAGTATTAATAAAAAAAAACATTTTTACATTAAGAATCGCCATTATTGTTTCGTAGGAGGCAAAAGACGCATGCAAGGCGTTCCTTACCAAAAACCCTCAGAAGCGTTTGGGTTGCGGCGCGCGTGGAGAAGAGGATGTCCGCACGCACCCGTTCTTCCGACGCATTGACTGGGCGCGTATTGAAGCCAGGGATGTCCAGCCACCATTCAAACCCAAAATCGTGAGTAGTTTTTTTTTTAATTTGTGTGTATGGATGGATTTTTATTACTCTTTCAAGCAACATCTACTGACTCGATTTTGATGGAGGTTTACTTTAATAGCTAATACATCAGAATAACACATAGTTTTTATATATCTATTATCTTTTATTTATAATATCTGTATACCATAAAATTATTCGTATAATAACCTATTTTGCTATATTAATAACTGGCTGTGCTCGCTGTTTCAACCGTTTGAAATGTATAGCCTATATGTTATTCTGATGTATGAGCTGTACTATTGTAAAGTTTTATTAAAATCAATTCAGTAGTTCTTGCGTGAAATAGTAACAAACATCCGTACATCTACACAGAAAAACTTTTACGTTAATAATATTAATAAGATGTGTAGGTAGGTACTAAAAGCAAAACTTTAAAATAAACAATTTTATTTCAGAAACATCGTAAGGACGTGTCTAATTTCGACAAGCAATTCACTCAGGAGAAGACAGAGCTGACGCCCACCGACAAGCTGTTTATGATGAATCTCGACCAGACCGAGTTCATGGGCTTTTCATTCCTCAACCCGGAGTACGTGCAGCACGTCTGAACGTGGAAGGTGAGTTAATCAAAATCTGACTCTGCGCTGATGGAATCACCTATAACAAACCAAATTAATCCTATATATGACTGTTGCACCCTGCAAATCGTATTTAAAATATACCAAGCGAAATGTGGATATATCAAGTATAACGTTCACTTTCTAACTATCGACATTTGTTAATACCTCTGATCACCCCACCTGGGATATGATTCGTGAATGTATATTTAATAATTTACACTTACTTATTATTCTCTATTACAGGGTTGAATCATTCTTCTCACGTCATTGGAGCTGACTTAGCGCTCGAGTCTTCGGTTTCAAAGCGCGAACTCTTCTTCATCTATCGACTGTCTCTGTCACTCATACGACGCCGGTCGTAAGCTATCTCGTTCATACTCGACTGTTAACTATGTTAAGTTCGAATGTTAAGATCTATAAAGTTTATCTTGAATCGGGGATAATAGGACAATTAGGAGCAGATTTTAACACCAGTTTTGTAAAAGATAAGATATATTATTGAAGTAATATATTGGAGGAAAAAGTGCTCATTCCCTAATCTTTAAGTTTTGTTTTTCTTCCAAACATATTCTTCATAATCCATCCAATACGACATGACTTAAACTCGTTTTGGTATACTTTTATTTCTATAAGTTTTTATTTATTCGTTTCACTGCAATAATATCGCAATTAGATATTTTAACGAATTTTTCAAAGCAATAATAAATACTAATATAGTTGTGTTACATAATACGCTCTCTATTCATAATCTCGATTTCATTTGACATTAATATTCCTTAGACTGTTATTTAAGTCAATCATTAAAAAAAATAAAGCGTGTCTATTAATTTTTGTGCTGATTGTTTTGTGAGAATCTCGACAAGTATTAACATTATCACGACCTTGGGGCCATTTGGTATGTAATGAATTTATGGTTACTTACACTGGTACTTGACTTGTCAATATTTTATGTCTCTAAGCGCGGGAAAGCATAATATTGATATTTAAGTGTGGCTAACGCCATTTTGTTGTTTCTCATCTGTCACATATCAGTGTTAAATGTAAATAAAATTAATTAATTCTACGTCGTGTCGTGTGGATGGCGGTGTTTGTTGCACGTTTTTTGGTGTGTCTATAATTTCATAGATTAACTATATTTTTTTTATCCATTTATAAATCTCACAGTAATTTGAATCTCTATACGATGTGCTTTTATTTTATTAGAAATACTTAGCGTTATTATGATTGACACTGGCCATTTTGTAAAATAGTTTTTTTTTATTATGACCAAAATATAACTGTGTATTATAATTTGAATGGCCATAAAGAGTTTGTATTATTAAGTTTTCATTGTCTATTGTCGATATCGTTGTTATTTAGTTACGTATTTTTATGACAGTCACAAGAACCGTGATTGTTTGTGATGTATTGATCTAATCATATATTGATTTTGTGTGTAATTTCACTTACACTATATCTGTATGTGTGTGTGTGTGTGTGTATGGATGTTTTATGAATGTTTTTTATTCAATCGCGATATATGGTAGTAATAGACGGTTGTGGAAATTAGAATGATCCAATGTTTATTTTAATTTTATATTTAGTTCTCAATACTGTTATTTGCATGTACTAGTCGTACGTATAACGCAATTAGAGGGAGATATTCAATATCTCTCCCTCTTGTAATTCGATACGATAGCTTATATTACTTACGTACTATAAACTCAATTCGTGCCACTATACCTACTTAAAATTTATCACGTTGTATAAACAAAATGAGAATTGAGCATAAGCAAAAAAGCTAAGCTTTTGTTAGAATTAGTACTTTACTGTTATCTAGCATCTCTGTCTTTACTCAGTATGGTGTAAGCGAGACAAAAGATAATACAATTCATATTTGTTTCAATTTCGCATTTATAGTGCATCCTTCGTTGGATTTAAGATTTTTCTAGTATGATATGAATGTACTCATAAATTATAATATATAGTACACTAATACCGTCTATTACCGCCATGCTTTTAGCAGCTAACAGCTGACAATCGTCTACTAAAATAGCCTTACTAACTTATAATAATATGTCTGATAAAATACAATTTAAAAGTTGTTTAAATCTCTTACTAGATTAAATTAATGTGAATTTAAAAATGAGAAAGCATTTGATTCTAAATTGAATTATAATAAATGACATTTTAGGTGTTATCTTTTTTTTTAATTTTGCGGAGGTGTCACTAAAGTCATTTGGGAATTTGCGGGCTGTATACATTACACCTGTGCCATACCCCAAAAGGATAAATAGTAAAAAAAATACTTAATATAGAAAATCTTGTGGCACCTTCCATTTTTATTAATGTCGCTTTGTATTAGAAATATACTTGGTATTATAGTAATTATTAAGTTATTTCAATTCTTTATTAGATATAAGTGTTAATATAAGGATGTCACGCTGGCTCATTTTCAATCAATATAGTTTTATATTAGCAATTCAGTATTAAAACGGGTTATTTAATGTTTTATTATTATATACTGTAGTATTACCTGCTGTTGAAGGTGTCTTATATATTTTACAAAATATAAAAGATATTTAATTTAGAAATTAAATCAATTTGATTTGTTCTAACTGTAAAAGTGTTGAATAATAATGTATCAGATAATAGAAACGGGAAAACGGGTTTTCTTTTCTTATCTATTGCGCCATTTTGTTGTATGTTATAAAAAATATGCTCTAAACACCATGGATCTTCGTGGATTTTTGTACAATATTTATTGTCTATGATTTTATTTTCCCGCCAACTGTGTCATAGTATTATTATAGTTTATGGTTACCTGAAAATGGGCCGGCACCATAGTATAAAATCAGCTGGAGAGGGAGTCAATGTAGTGAGCGCTTCTAGCGTTATCCCACACCATTCCTCCTGGCCATTAGTGCTCTATGCTTACATGTGCAATGTGTTATAGTTTATAATTGACCATAGACTATGGATTCATATGTCGCTGTTATACGAACTAAATACTAAATATATAGTCTACGTATGAATTATTGTTATAATTTATATTTAAAAATTTGGATCTAAATTCCACATAAATAATTAGTTAGATTGGCAATGCATAAGGCATATCACCCTCATGCGTTGTCATTCCTAAGAACTAAGGAGTCATGCCTTAATGCCTTGCAATTTCACTTCCATATCTCACCTTCAACCAAACAAACCTCATAAAGCAAACTGTGTAACGGCTAAAGTGAGACAGATATGTCAAAATAGACTTTCTATAAAGTATAAATGGAAAATACGTTCTGAAAAATATCACATATAATTTCATTGCGCATGTAAATGCATATTGCAGTACCCCAATAAACACAAACCTATTATAAACACTGTTAAAGATTTATTCCACGTGAATTGTGAAACAAAATACACCAATAGGTACAATAGTTCCTATAGGTATATGTAACTATTTAAAACAGTGTTTATAAGATACCTTATGCACTACTTACCTAGGCGTTATTATTGCTTAAAACTACAATTTAGTCACAACCTAGATATCTTGTACTCTTATAGTATAGATATAGCAGGCAAATATTTGTATGTGTTAATATTTTAATGTTCTTACAAATGTAATTTTTACTTGGCAACACCGTATTTGGGCAACATCGATTGAAGCACTTGCTTAGTCTAGTGATGTGATATTAATTGATTATATACCTTATAATTAGTTATTCTTGACTCAATTAATTTTTGGGCCTATTGGTCTCTGAGTGTTCTTGTTTTTTTAGGTCGCCTTGCAAGTAAACTTACTTGTTTATTTTTTTCCCCATTTTGAAGATTGAAAAATATTAATGAATCGATCTATTAGGATAGATCTTTAAATGATCTTTTTTATATAATTCATAATTTTGTTAAATCTCTGTCTCTAACGAGACTTGAATTGACTTGTGTAAGACATGTTTCTATGGTATGAAGTACCTACTTCGCTATTGTACTATATGGACATCGATACCTACAAATTTTCGGCACGCCCGTTGATCAATTAATTTGGGATTTGTGCTACCAGATTTATACATCAATTCAGCCCGCGGTCTCTAAACGCTATTTACTTCCTATTCGATACGTTCTTGACAGAACGGTCGTGGTCATTATGTATGAGGCAAGAGGCAGATACCATCCTCCTTACGACAGCTCGTTATCTGTCTCCACTAGCTACCATTCTGGTACACTCGTGGAGTGGACCACCTACCGCTGCTTTGGTTTAGTATAAACGTTTAAACTGAAAAGTATATAACTGTTTATTTCAGATGTTCTTTGAGATCTTCTCGATAGATGTTACGCAAACGTTTCCTAAGTGCTAAATACTATACTCCGAATATATTTACTATCATTAAAAATGGTAACGGTATATATATATTATTCCTTGACAATTGTAATACATACATTAAAATATTAACATATATTATCACCTTTTTGGACTGCGTTACGCAGTTTATATATGCAACTATGAATAGAATATTATCGAGACTTACAAATGGAAATATATCCTTTTAATGTTGTTTGATTGACAATTGAAAATTTATAACTCTAATGAGTCTGTTTCTGTAATTTTTGGCGGCGGCGATATATAATACTCTGTGAAAAAAAATTACCTTTGGTATCAATATTGGCTCATTAGAGTTATATATAAATAATAAAACACAATATATTTCCGTTTCTATAGATTCTATAAATTAAGCTGAATTTCGTTTATTTACTGTTATATTAGTGTCTGCTAGCTTATGCCTTGACATGTTTAATTTTACTATGACTTGGTCACTTTAGGCGATAGTTGAAAGTTTATAAAACTTGTAGTGGTATTGTATTTAACCATTATAATCGTGTATGAATAAGATCTCACTTGTATATACGCAAAGTCATTTATTCATTTATCTATAGATATTCTAGAGCTCGTTAATTGAATTATTCAAGCAAAAATTGCGCTTTATATATCTGCTTTTTGCTTTCAATGCTTATTTTATGTGACGAGTTTTGATACAAACTCGGTATATGTCTGACTTAGAACATTCGACATTGGAGAAAGGAAGACAGAAAATGTTCGAAATATAAATTTGATTGCTTTTTTTTAATTAAATTGTTTTGTAAGTAAGATTGTTGAAGTTATCGATTGTAACTCGTGATTTAAAGACTTATTGGTGACCAACTTTACTGATGCTGCTACTAAGATGTAGGTAAAGACTAGTAGATAAAGAATGTCTAAATAAGGTCTTCATCCTAAAGATCCCAATATTGTATCAATCAAGTATAAGTTTTTACTTAATACCTTAGTGGATGTATAATTTGAACAGAAAAAAAAATATAATAGCTTCACCCTTGTCGATTGTTCTACGGATCTAAATAAAATTGATTACTATTTTGAATTTTTAAACATAACTTTTATAATACCAATAGTTACGGTATGTGTTCAGTGAGAATTAGTTGATAATTAATCTTGATATTATTTAGTTTAGTATAGAATAAATATATTATTAGGTTGCTCTTCCTAAACTATTGTTTTCTACTTCCATAACTGTGAAGGCAATTCATCGCAGTCATACGTTACTTACAGAATAAACTGCGAAGTTATCTATGCAATTACAATCCGGATTGGTCGTCAAAAATATTGACCAATGAGAATTCACGAAACTGCGATATGTCAACAGCATATCCTATCATCAACCAATAGCATTGTCGAGAATGGACGTTAGTTCCAATTTAAAAATTAAATTCGTGGCTCTATTAATATACTTAAATTAGTCGTCTAGTGAAAATTATATGTAATTTAAATATGATATTAAATTATTGGAATATATAATCATTATGTAATCATTAACAATATTATATGTACGTAGTCGGTTCGATGTTCTATTATAACAAAAATGACATAGCGTTTAACATTTAAGTATTTCTTATATAATTATTAATATAATCGGAGTCACAACGTTACACAAGTACCTAATTAACTCGTCAATACCTATAAAGTACGGCGGTGCCCCAATTAAATGTGTATTTGTTAATTTAGTGCACGTTAGAACCACGAATTTAATGTACTACCCGTTAGAGACGCAAATGCAATACGCCGGTGACCTGAGAGCCACAAGTCAGCGGAGTAGTTGCTTCAGCGACTCTTGCACTCCCAACGTGAAAACAATAATACTTTCATAATAATTCTCATAAATATAGGCCTAAATATCACTCTTTCTAAATAGAATAAGCCCGTAGTCGATACAGGTCTTAGTATATACATTTTATTAAATATTTTACTAATAAATATTTGAGCGTGTTTAAAATTTTACATTGACTATGTTATTGTCAATATGCACCATCACCTGTGCCAAAATGTATTTGTAAATATTTTTCCAAAATATGAATTAGTATATTGAATATTATGATAACCTATCGTTTTTAATCTTTTCAATAATTTCCTCATTTGTTCACGTATTACTGGTAATGTAGTATTATCTCTTTTAAATGATGTTTTAGATGCAATAAACAAGTCACTATTATGATTTCTCTTATAAATTTCATTAAATAAATAGTTTATTCTCATCAGGAATTAATGTAACAAAGCTATAACAAAATAATAATATCGACTACTAGTATTTTTTTTAATTATTATGCTTTACGGCTCTGACTACTAGTAATACGTTAATAAAATCGCCACTGCTAAAAATACTGCACGTTTTCTGTTAGGTTAACAAATATTCGCTAGTTGTAAGATAATCTTCTGATTGACTATAACAGACGCATATATTATTTATATTATCTGTAATCTATTTATATTTATTTACTAAGCTTCAGTCAGTAATGACCAAATATTTTGTCATTAATACGCATTATTCGAAATATTGGAGTATCTACTTGTATTTTCTTATAGACATTTATATGACTGTATCCACGTTTATACTATATATAATACACATATATATATTCACGTCACAACTTTCTCTGTGATATATCATCCTTTCACGGACTGTGTAGACGATTTTTAAGATTTTTTTGTCTGTTATTAAGTTACGTTAATCCACGTAAATTTTATGAAAAGGAAAATGATGACCATAGACAATAGGTACCGAATTCGATTAATCAGAATCTTGAGCAGTATAGCTTCTTGCCATTGTGGAAATATAAAAAAAAAACTATTTTTAAAATAAATATAATGTGAGCACGGCAATCTAAAAGGTTTTTGTAATCTTAAAGATTCATATTTTTAAATGACGTACCTAATCGTAATTTTTACTTTTAAAAATGACAATACTTCATTAAAAATAACACCTATTACTGCCATTTTTATACGATTATTTTAATATTTAATTTATAAATTATCAATGTGCCAAATATATGATTTTTAGAAGGCAAAATATCTTAAAATTTGTCTCCGCAGATTTTTGAATGTTCAAAGTGCACTTTACGTTAAAATTTACCGTCGTCGCCTCTCACTAGGTTTAAAATTATTAAAATTAAAGTTTTCGATTTCAACAAATTAAAATGTAAAACGTGTGCGCGGAAATTTTAATAATGTTTTCTAAAATTGAAATATAATCATTTCCACACACACCTCTAATCTTATTTATGAGATTTTATTGCATATTATATAATTATCTATAGCGTAGTACAGTATTTCGATTCGTAGCATTTCAATCGTCATTTTCAAATGGAATGTTGTAATTTTGGAGATCTAGAATATTCTAGAACTCAGCAGTGGATTGTGACCAAGTAGATCTGTCGGTAAGGTCTCGAATTGTATGGAGTTTTGTCGAATGTTAATGTCGATTGTACTCAACAATATAAATTTCTAATCCATTAGATTTGTGAGTTTTATTTCTAAATACATAATAATCCTAATTCGCACACAGCGCCATCTATATCTACCCAAATATTTAATTTGTGGATTTTGTGGAATCTAAATTCAAAAGTATTGACAACGTATTTTAACGACTTCTGCACGCAGATAGCTGTTGCTGATGTTATTAAGCGTAGATTACGATACTATTATTTTCCTTATTTGAATAAAAAGGTAAATTTCAGCGGACGATGTCGCAGGTAAAGCCAATCCTGTATAATAAAAAGCCGCATAATGATAAGGATATATTAATCTATAAACACATCTGAGTAATGTACAATACAAAAAATATTATTTTTATGTATACTTATTAGACCTATGTCCAGCAGTGGACTGCAGTGGGCTGATGATGATGATGATGTTGATGATACTTATTTAAAGTTTAATTTCCGTCTCGCCTCTCATCACTTGAGTCAACATTTGATTACATAGAGCTGCGTATGGATTCATTTCAACCACCTGAAATTTGAGAGTAAATATTCAAGTATATAAATAATTATACGAATGTCTCTATAAACAAAATTTTAGATATGTTTCTCAATTTTATAGTACTTCTTTTGTCACAAATAGTTTGCTGTGTAAACAGTTTCATTGATATTGTTAAAATTCTTCGTGGTTGTGTCAAACAATAAGTATCTATTTATACAAAAAATCTATATAATATTTATGTGTAGTAGTAGTACCTATAACACAAGCTCTGCTTAGTTTAGGACTAGATGACACTGTGTGAATTATCCTAAGATATTATTATTATACATAATCTATTTTTAAAAACTCAATAAACATGTTAAACGAAATAATGAGTGTTATAAAAGTAACTTCCATAATTTTACTGTATTAGATTGCAATGAAGCATTCTCTATAGTGTGTAATGTCATCTAATACGTGTAATAAGGTTATCTGTTCTTCTATTACATGCAAAAATATCACACCTGTTTCTTAGCGAAACCGCTGCCCAGTTTAGCAGCTTCAGTAAAAGCTGCGCGTGCCAGATCTCCTTGTCCAAGTTTCTTTAACAGAACCCCGCGCTGACACAGCGCCAACGCGCGAGCTCGACCCTTGCTACCTTCCGTCAACTGCAACGCTTTATCGAGGTCAGCCATTGCATCTGTGTGTATTAAAATACATCAACGAAATTTCTCCAAATTAAATCAGTATTAAAGAATAGTTTTTTTTATAGGATAGATAACGGTTGACGCTGGAGGGGCACCAGTGGAGGATTATAATTTTTATTATTTAATTAGAATGAGAATAAGGATTTCACCAGTTTTCAATCAAGTTTCAACCCAGAAAGAATTTATCACGATGGTTTCCAGGGGGGACCGCGTGGAGGTCAATCTGACATGGTACATTGTTAGCAATAAGATCATCAGTCGACATTACTAACAGTCCCCTTTCTTCCCTAATAAACCAGTATTAGAGAATAGTTTTCTTTTAGGATAATAATGGAATGGAGCCGGCGGGGCACCAGTGAGGGTTAAAAGATGAAAATTATGATTCTGGAAATGATTGTGACAAATTCACACGAGAATTTGTCACAATCGTTTCCAGAACCGCGTGGAGGTCAAATTGTTATAGTTACATGTTTAACAATGAGTTCACTAGTTCACTTTACTATGTTCCTGTTTTATGAGAAAAATTATTGATTTATAAGTATCATACCCATACACACAATGCCAATTTAGAAATAGTTACTATGTGTATATCTACTTTTATATCGATTTATTGATTAACATATACAAAGATTGTTATTATGATGAATCTTCGCCGGAGGACCAGTGTAAATAGCCAAGTTTTATAAGAATGAATGAAGATGAAGAGCTTAGCAACACATAAAGGACAAACACAAACATTCGTGTTGAAATTTCAGTCTTACAGTCCCCAATCTTTAGTTGACTCTATTTTTTTTTATTAAGACACACTGGACCATTCAACAATATAAATAACATTTGTATACAAATATGATTGTATGACATTTACGTTATAAACTTATATTTGTTGTCTGCTGCCAATAGTGCCCGCATGAAATCTATAGCCTATGTGTTATTCTGATGTATATATTACTGTAAAGTTTCATCAAAATCCGTTCAGAAGTTTTGTGTAAAAGAATAACACAGCTCACAACCTTTCGCTTTCATAATATTAGATAAACATGAAATTATTTTAAATTTTTATATATTATTAATGTATAAAAATTCAAAATGATTATTTACCGTTATCTCTTTTCATGAGACGCAACAGCTGCGCCCTGTCATTGTAAGCAGCGGCTCGGTCCGGTGCCACTTCGATTCCCCGCGTGAGCAAGCGTAACGCATCTTCATACTGGCCTGCTTCTGCAAGTTGTACACCTTCTGCGCAAATCTTGACGGATTCCTCGTTTGAGGGTTCTGCGAAATAAATTAAATTATATAATATAATAATCTATACATATAAATATAATTGGAGTGTCTGTTTGTAATATTTAAATAACCATTTTTTACTACAAGCATATGAATATAAAAACGAGAGAAAAATAAATACGCCAAAATAACATTTTTAAAATTTTTGTCCGTCTGTCTGTTTGTTCCGGCTAATCTCAGAAATAGCTGAACCGACTTTGACGGGACTTTTTTGCAGGTAGCTGATGTTATAAGAAGTAACTTAGGCTACTTTTATTTTAGAAAAATAATGTTAAATTCTAAGCGGACGAAGTCGCGGGAACAGCTAGTATAATATAAAAAGGTAAAGTGTGAATATGATTTATTGGGAGGACCAAGTGGATGTCGACCTGACTTATGCTAAGGGTGGGTTCTAAGTAACTGCTAGAAATACTTAAATACATGTGACTGGTTGTGTACAAATAGGTATAGTTATGATGTGTGTGTCTCCATAACATAGATTTAAGTTAAGTGTAAAACAGTCCGCTTTACGACTCCGCGTTGAGTACTCGTGTCTCTCATAGCCACGAGAGCCAACAGAATATCAGCGCTGCAGAGTTATCTGTAGCATGCTGAGTTGGCTACCTTTTCACTTTTGCGGCTCATAAAGCCACCTACATTTCTTTTATTAATTCGTGTTGTTTCTGTATCTCATGTATGTTATGCGTCTGTAATTGTGAATAAAGAATTTATCTATCTATATAATAAATATTGTAGCACATTACCAATACCAATAAATACAAATTTAATAAATAGTACAATTATTTACCGGTATACTCACTACCTACATACTACAATAAATGATGTATAAGGTAGCGACACCTCATCATATCACAACATATATAACGCTACAGTGGTGAGGATAACACCGCGCTACAGTTAAATAGGATTGTTAGGTCCAATTAGTAGGTGGCCCCATTTTTAGCAATACACCTTACATTAATTACTATATTTGTATACAACCAGTCACTATTTAGGTATTGCTATCAGTTATAATACTTAGTACCCAAATTTAGTACAAATTCTCCTTAGTTCGAGACTAGATAGCGCTGTGTGAATTATCCAAAGGTATTCATAATAATAATAACAATCCAGAACAATTTATATAAATACATTTTTAAAAGTACAAACATATACGTAGGAAACACACTCGCGAATACCAATGTTTGTACATGTGAGTAATTAAACCTCGACCATCGGAAGCGGTGTCTAAACTGCTAATACAACGAAGCTGTCAATTATTTATTTATTTAAAAATGCATTAAAATCCGATGCGTAATTTAAAAGATCTAAGCGAACAGACAGCGGAAGCGTCTGCATTTTATAATATGTAAAAATTTACGTACCTTCATTATCGTCAAATTGATCCCCATCGTCAACCACCTGAGCTATGGTAGCTGTTGGGTCGAATATACTCCTCAAAACAGCCTTGTCTCTTTCACTCAAGTTCTCCAAACCAGCCATGTTCGCTGGCACTTGTTCCCAGTACAAGAGCTTATTATAAACTAAATGGTGAATGGATACAAAAACCCGTTCATTCCGCTATAATTGTATAAGATTTACCGTCAACAGATGATTATTGGTCGATTTGAGCTAATAATCATGTAAATTTAAAAACCAGTTTGTTGTTTACATTCAAATACATTAAAATGTTGCATTATAAATCTCCTATCAGAACGACAATCTATATGATCTACTCGTAAGTATAAAGGCCATATTACGCTATATATGAGTAACTATTAAGATATTGATAACGTTTAATTAACGAGTATTCCACTCAGGGCACAAAACAATTTTCACGAAAAAGCAAAGTGGAAACCTGAAAATGCATATTTTTGGAATATTTATACTATCATATAGCCAGCAATATTTCAATAGAATTTATAAGTTATGAATGACATATTACCAAACTATTATTTTGTTTTAACCGGGTAGATTTAGATGTATGTAGTAATTAGTTATTCATATCTTTTTAATAATTTATTCGTACATTCAAGTACACAACGAAACATGTGCAATTGTGCATGTTTTCCAACACGCCATGCGCCAATGTCGTACATGTGATAGTGTAATAAGATACTTAGATTATAAAAGATAATTAAAAATAATGTTGACCGATTTTAGAGCAATATTTTTAATTATTAATTACCTCTAATCTTCAGATTGTTGCTTAATAACGGATTTAGCCACAGCTATCTTAATAATTAATCTACCAGATTGAAATGTATATTTATATCTATAATTTAGACGTATTTAATTAATATTATAATTTCCTAATCAGGATCTTACACATAATTAGAATTTTATATTACAAACAAATACAATTATAACATACCTTCACGACTGTTACCCCAGAAGTGATATTCAGAGTAATAATCAACTGTTTACGTCATAGTGTACACAACACTTTACCCCTACCCTGAGTCGAGATTCGAGTTTCTATCTGTGCCCTCAGACTAAAGTCGTATCCGTCAAGCAGGAGTCGGCCTTTAGCTGCTCTATAAGTCCTACCGCGGGTTTGGAGTGCCACTTGCATTCGCCCTCTACCGTTCGGTGAAGCTGTTAAGGCCAGCTGCAGCTTAGAATAGTTCGAAAAAAATTGGTACTTAGAGCCAAACACACAAATATACTATTTAAATAAAACACGAAATAATTGAACATTTTTATTAAATAGTTTTCGGTTAAAATATAATAATTATAAACTAAAATTAACTATTACTTAAAAGTAAAGAGAGTAACTAATTGGCTGAGTAGTAACTCGTTTGAAATAAAGCATCGTCTCATCCCAACGTTATTTGGTGTTATATTGAATGGTGATTATATCACACGCTTAATAAACTGACTTAATAAATTAAAAATAAATACATTTCTGAGAAACCGACTTAAAATTCATTAAAAAAAAAGATAAATCGAATTCACAAAAAAGTATTGTTGACTTAATGGATTATTTTCAAGAGTGCGGTGTAACTAGGGAATTAAATAAAACTTAACAGGTTTATGAGCTGGCGAATATAAAAAAATAGGCATATTTTTTATGTTTAATACTTCCCAGGCCATTTCAAAGACGGGTAGTGTGTGCCATCACCGCAAGATTTCGGTTTTACTAACAAATAACATTAAACATAGTAACGACTCTTGGTAGCAGCTAAGTTTCGTACTACTCAAGTACAGTAATCGATATAGCGGGTCCTTCATTTTACTCACGGCATGTGCACATTAAAATCCCGTTTCAAGCTAATAACTTGTATAAATTACATTACCAGTTTTTATATAACAAAAGTTACAAAATACAATTTAGCTTTACAAAATATTGTCAAAATTTTATAGCAGAGGCCTTCCTGCATAAGAATGGCAACATATTAAAAATAAAAAAAATATATCGTAAATATTTCTTTTATTGCCACTAAAATTATTACTTTATTATAAAATAAAAAATAATATAATAACAAAAATAAAAATGATCATGTCATTAACAAACCATGGTAATTAGGTACAGAACTCAACTCAACTCGCCAGATGCAATGTTGCCATTCATAATGGAAGAGATCTGATTTTATTTTTATATTTCATATATCTTTGTCTTTTAATTACTTCAGCCGAATTTAATGCCAAAATAATATAATTAAACTAAAAATAAAATAAAATTGTTAATAATTTAAAATTATTCTCGTCCGTTGTCGGCATTATATAATATAATAATCAGGTAAACCATCATTGGAACATGCCTAATTTGAGTAAAAACCATAAATAATAACCACAGATTTTAATGTTACACATATTGGAACTAGACACATTTTCTTCTAATTTTAATAATGAAAAAATAAGGAAATACTAGCTGTTCTAAATAAATAAAATAAATCATTTTTAAAGCAAAGATAAGAGATTTTTATTGATTATAATTTTTGGCTTTTATATTAGCATTAAATTATATTTTTAATTTCATGAATTTTTAGTAAAAAAAATAAAAAGTAAACATTTTGTCTATTATTATATTTTTTTAACAAACTGCGGCGTGGATTCCAAACGATTTTATAGTCAAACCTCAATTCACCTAACAATGTAACTGTCAGTTGTAGAAATATTTTGGCGCGAAATATTACAAAACAAACGCGAAAACAAAACTAACTAGCAGAATTAATACGTTAATTGGCACTAAACATTGTTCATGAACATGAACAAATTTTTACAAAATGTTCAAACCTACTATTTGCTATGCCTTCAATTTTTGCTAGAATTTGATATTCATTGTATATCAAAATGTTAATTTATTAGAAACATACCGAATAAATAACTTAGTATTACTTATTGTAACGTGGGGCTTGACTCGTCAATTATGTAAATATATATCTTTTCTTGTAACTATGTAAAAAAATCCTTATACACTTATGTTCCTTAAACATGGAAACCTATGATATATTTACGAATTTATCTTCCCTGTCCAGATTATACAGTGTGATGACGTAATAAGAAATATTTAATGAATTTCTCTAATTAACTAACAATCCAACATTAGTATAAGATATAAATGCTATGTTGCACTGAAAAGCAACCTTGTAAGTATATACATTACGTCTTTTTTCAGTTTGCACAACCATATTTTAATTTTACCATCTAACTACTGCACTGCTACAGGGGGCCCAATTAGTGGGTCAACAAAGTGTGTTATTGTGAGACATGGGGATAGAAACGCGTCTTAATTAGGTGACGTCGTTGAATTGAAAATGAATGCCAAATTTCATGTTTTAATAAACATTAAATATAAACTATTAACGAAATTAGAATTTTTAAAATAGACGGTCAGGGAATGGTACAAACGGTTTACGCTGGCGAGGCACTAATGAAAATAGTTTAATATATGTTACGTCTTAGGGGAGGTAGAGGAGACATGTGATCAACTGTGACAAGAACAGAGGGAGGGTTAAAAAATTACGGATTGTTTATCGATGGCCCCGCTAAATATAGAATAATAATAACTGAAGAGTTCTATAGAAATTGTAGTTAGTTGTCTTGCCCGTAAACGATCGAAATTACACACGACATATTAGACACAGTGAGATAAAATATGAAATCGTGTTCCGTATAAAGATTTACATTTCATAACTTTTTGGTCCAAAATTTATATACAGCATTTAAATACATGATTAGAAAAAGAAAAACTATATATTATTAATATAGTCAATCGAGTCTTAGGTACATGAATAATTTTAGGGTACATAAGGTATTACCTCTCTCGACGATACTGTCAAGGTGGTCAGCGAAATCACTGTCGTCAATTAGACACGACTAAGTAAATTAATAATGTGTACTAAACGCGAAAGTTTAATAGTTAATAAAAACAGTATAGTTTTTGGGGGCAAGGGGGACATAAAGTAACTTTTTCATTGCATTCGATCTAAATATTCTTTTGAAGTCAAAAATACTTTAAAACCGAGAATATGAGTAACTACCTTATTTGCATGATAAAAATTTCTCGGAATCGTGTAAGATGCAGTGTGTAAACACCCTAATTGTCCTAAACAGCATAATGCCGTCATGAAACAAATTTATATATAGCTAGATACAACTAATAGTGTGTGCAGACGACCTTAGAATCAAAGGCGACATCGTAGTGGGAAGTATCATAGATGGCTCAATTTCTGCAGCAATTCTCACAAAGAATAATAACAATGATGATTACGGTTTACATAAACGAGGTGGTCTAGGAAACTCTCTAGAACGCTCTACAACTTTGTTTGCCGCGTCTAGACGCTTTAGGGTGGATCACACTCGAATGGTAAGTTTTCTAATTATATGGCCAGTCTGATAAAAAACATTTCTTCATATAAAATATGCTATATTTACCATATACCACACGTACTTTTATAAAATCTTACTCATAAAAAAATTGTGTCATATTATCTATTTACTTTAAATGATTCATTTTTCTATGATCCTGTATCAGAAATAGCCCGTGTCAGTATTATTAAGGTGACAGCCATTTTACTGTGTTTATTATAATGTCATATTATTTAGGAAGATTATAAATTAATTCTGTAAGTTTAAAAAAAACAATCTGTCATTGTTATATTAGAAAAAATATTTATAATCTCTGCTAGTAACCATACAATGTAATGGGTACTTAACAATTTTCTATTAAAGAATTTCTTGTTGCGTCACCGCTTACAAAATCGGTTATATGCTAAGAATAAATATACAAAACAAGGCTTGCAATTAGACGATTATTCTATATCACAATCCCATGTTACAAATACGAATCTTATACTAATGGTCGGTCGCGATCACGGATTTACTTGCAAATTGGTGCTACTTGTATCAACCACGAACTAGTATATGTATCACATGCTTTTTACTAAACTGCATTAACTCCAAAATTATAAATTTAAAGAAATCAACTTACAGTATTTAACATAAAATCTAATTTTCTAAATTTGTATATTTTTTATATTACGCAGTTAATAGTTTAGCATGTAATAAAATTGTAACAATTCTTATTAAAATAGCAATAAGTTATACATTTGACAAATATTGTTTCATTAGCATCATTAAGAAATATTATTTCATTAGCATTTTAATCAGTATGTGTTTATTAGAATACAGTTGCGTCTCAACTCTGTAGCTGTACGCACTTGGTTGATTTCATTGTATTATATTAATAAAGAAATAACACAGTTTTGACCAAAACATTAACCATATTTATGTAATAAATTTTTGTCTATTTTCATTAGTATGTAACAACAATTATGGACTTTATACATTATCAATTAAATCATGTTCATTAATATATTATTTAAACCATATGTAACAAGCGACATTTTACTTAATAAATTTATATTCTTGTTTATATCCACTACAACAAAATAATATAAATCTATTAAGTAATGAAATAGACTTCCCCAAAACAACACCTAAATCCATAATTGAACACAAGCTGCATTGTCTATATCCTTTGTCAATGAATCTTTATGAACAATTCCATGAATTATTCAAGTACAAATAATGACACCAATGCATTAAAAAAATACACATAATATACTTGTCTATTATATATCTTTGTAATACATATGTTACTTATGGTTAAAATGTGACCACAACTGATTATGCATGATAATGCTGGAATTAAAACCATTGTTATATTTCTATAACCTGTGGTATATCACAGACCTATGTTAACATAGGGACTAGGCAGGCCTGTGACGTAGCATAGATGGAAGCAAGCACATCCAGTGATCGCGCCTTGTATGCACCTCAGTCACTCTTAACATACGGGCGCAAGTATTATTTGTGTCAACAAGTCTTATATAAGCTGCATATATACCGTCTTGTATTCTACTCTCTGTACACCCCTAGCGATGTTTAACTAAAAATTTAATATATATAAATATAGATATATTCACCTACTGGCATTTTGTCTAAAATTATATTAACCATAGAAATATTCTACGACAAAACCATATGTAATTATGGTCCGTAACAATCATAATGGTTTTCTATATTATCTATCTGTTTTAATCATAATAAATTATTATTATTAATATAGCATTTAGAGTATAAAGATACCGTCTCGCTTACGCTGTGGTATTTCACTAAAACCATTACTATTAGAGAGAAAAATCTTCGGCAATTCACCGCACCTCACCACAAGCGTAAAATAAAGCATTTTTATGGGGAAATATAATAGAAAATCAATAACTATAACAAATAACAGTTCACACAGCGCCATCTACTAACAAACTAAACAAAGCTGGTTCTATTGTACTGAATAATTGAAAGAAATACTTATAGACAATTTTTGTAAATATATTTAATACATAGAAAATATCCAGGCCAATACAAGCAATCATACTTATGAATACAAATTTTATATCTTGCGAGAATCGAACTCACATCTATTATCAAAAGTAAAGCAGTGTGCTGAACCGCTGGGTCATCGAGGCCGTGTATTTGAAAACAATTATTATTATGTTTCCCCATAATACTCCTTTATGAAAATAATCTCAGGCCTATGCATGTATTATAAAATAATTAGTACAAACAAAACTTGAGTTTGTTTTTTATTTAAACTTTAGTGTCAAATAACAAGTGATATGAAATGTTATGGGCATTTTGTATTAGTCAATCTTTCAATAATGTATATACCGATGCTTGATTATATAACGCTGTTGCAATTATATATAAATGAATTGACAGTTGCGGTTGCAAACTCTGGGGTTCAATTATGTAAAGCTGTTACTAACTATTAATTGTTACAGATTAAAATACACACGTTTGGGGTTTAAATTTGAAGATTGCAGATATTTTGTTCGTAAATAATTGTAATTATTATAAACTTAAATCTGTTTCAAATGGGAATTGTTAGCAACATCGCTACATAATTAGGTCCCAGGTACCTGCAAATGTCAAACGATTCGTACTCAATCAGAAAGTGCTTCTTAAAATAGTCATTTTAATTTAAAATGGCAGCCGTAAGTCATAGACACAAATAAGACATGAGCATTAGGAGTAATAGGCTAAAAATATACAATTACAATATAACTTATGCTAAAATATACTATACAATGTACAAAAAACTGGATATAAAAATGTTTCATTACAATTTTGTTTACGTCAATTGTACATACAATAGACTCTCCAGTGTATAGAGCCGTCATAATTTAAGAAAAACTGACTATCGCTAATTATATTTCACCGTATAGTTCTAGTTAACAATGATTGCATGTATCGTGACCAGACCGTAGAATTGAATGTATAAAATAGTCAATTCATGAAATTACAGAACATTTTAAAACAAATTTTACCGGCACCGTCGTTTATCAACATTTGTCAATATATAAAGCATGGTGTTCATACTGCAAGTCTAGATAATAGTAATTTAAAATCAGTAGGTATTTGTTTAAATATTACTGAGTTTTCTATCTCTTTATTGAAATTTTGTCTTATTATTGACAAATTGGCATTCTTTACTGGCGCTATGGTAATTAACAACAATATTTAACATGCACATGGCTGTTAAAGGTGTTGAATGATACTATTTTATGATATGATTATATTTGACTATAGTACGATGTACGAAATAAAATATACATATAGTTGTTTATATAAACCTGACCAAATTGAATAGAAATCTTATAACGATACGATTTCTATTCAATTTAATCAAGTTACAAAATGATATGTTAAAAAAATAGTATAATTTAATGGAACAAGTTATTGAATTTTTTACTCGACTTTGATCAATCAATACTGCAGTCTGGTGACGACATATACATAAATATATTTAAGGCATAAAAAACTATGCATGGTAATACTTTATGCACGTAATAACATTACAGTGCAATCATTTCATAAATCGTATGGGATTCACATCTAGGTTATTTTGTCCTATATAATCTACCATAACAATTATTGTTCCCTGAAATGAGCACTCATTATTAATTAAACTAATTTATTTCACAATTTATAATTACTGGTGGTCGACATTCGACTAATAAAAAATACAAAATGATCTTTAATAATAACAATTAAACAAAAGAGTACATATGCGTGTGTCAAATACGTAGTATTGGTAATGTCTTATTCATTGAATTGATTTTTAATGAATATTTAAAAAGAAATCTTAGCATTTGCACTCCTCTATATGAACTATAAGTGTGCAAACTTTCATACTCCACCGTCGGGTAATTTTCGTCAAAAGGAGTCCCAAGTTTTTGCTTCACGTATTAATATATAGATCATTTATAAATATATCCGGCATAATAAAACTATTATGTGGTACAGCAAGTAAGGTTGAAGGTTACGTTTGAACGCCCCATCTGATGCATCTGGTGTGCTAATGAAGAATGATATGCCCCACTTATAGAACTGCCGGTTTAAATAATACATTCAATGTCAGTGCAAATTGTTCATGCATATAAAACGCATTCAATGTCTATCATATAGGTAGAAACAAACCGCGGTTTCTATTTCGTGATTTTAAATCTCATTTTCCTTATAATGCAAATTAAACACTAAATTCCTATTATTAATATTATAAACGCGAAAGTTTGTGAGTATAGAGAAACTACTTAACGGATTTTTATGAAACTTTACAGTAATATTGCTTATATATCAGAATAACATATAGGCTATACATTTCATGCGGGTGACACAGCTAGTAATATAATAAAGTACATTATTACTTGAAAATACCAATACGATATTCAGGATAAATTCTAGTCATCAATTAAACTTTGTTTACTTAATTACGAAAAGAAAAAGAAATACCTATTATTAGTCCAGTAGATCTGAGTTTGGTTTAATTTTGCGTGTATCGAGTAAATAAAAGTCAAATGCATCTGAAATCACTGAGTTTGAGGTAAATAAAGTCCATACATCAGGTCTACAATCAATAGATATAGAAAATTCTTAATATATCAATCAACTTCGGTATACAATTATTTCAAAGCTCAGAAAAAATAACATTTTCTTTAATTCACAACAATATTGAACGCAATGTAATTATTTAATCACACAAACTCATTTAAATGAACAATTCGATATGGTTTTATAATAGCGAAATAAGAGGCCCTCTTTCTTAAAAGTTCAAATTTGTGATTTTTTATATTATTTATAACAAAGGACTCTTTTTAAATCCATTATGAAATCACTATATAATCATCACATTTATCAATATATCATAAACATGATGATAAATATATTTAAACTGTTTTCAGTTGCTAATTGTAAATACAATATCTTATTTAAATATTGTCTATAAAAAACTAAGAGCAATATTTAAATAAAGCATGGAAAGGTTGATGGCATAATTAAATGATTTGAAATAAAATGCCTTTTACTAAAATAATAATAAAAATCACAAAAATGAATAAGATATATAGTGACGTCTCTCTTTAACCGTCATCTCTCATATGGTTACGTTTACAAGAAATCTACAACCTTCAAGCTTAAAGATGTTAATCAAAACAATATACTCTAAACCTAACATTTATGAATAAATTATAAATTGTGAAATAAATATATCATTATACATATAAGTCATAACTAATATCTATTAGGGGCATGATTACGTAAAATGGTTGCTAACAACTCTTATTTGAAACAGATTGCACATATACTATTCAGTTGTAGGTTGCTATCACGAAGTTAGCTTTGTAACTGTGAAATTTGTCCTTTACAAATAAAAAATTCATTTAAAAATATTGAAATCGACAGGATTTCAATCAATTTCAAAGGAAATGTTAGCAACCATGTTACATAATCAATCCGCCTATATACTGATGGGGAAAGTTGTACAGATGAATGGATGGAACTTATTACACATATTAGAATAAAATTTGGCAATGCTACCTCCGCGTAAAACCTTTTGTGCCATCTGGCCCTCTTGGCGTTCGTATAACAAGTACACCCCGGGGTGGTGGCGAAGGGAATATTCCGGTGGGGCTGGCGCCCGGTGGTAACCGAGACAGGACCTTTCTCTCCTTACCTTTGGTATTATCACTGTGACAGTTCTTACTTTTGCCAACATTGTGATTGTCATTGAGGTTGTTGGCTTGTAGTTTGTCTTGCAACCGGTTGAGGCTGAAAAATATTGATTTATATTATAATTTTAATGTAGTAATATAAGTCATTTATCAATCAACCTGATTATATTTATAGTGCACCATCCACATAAAAATCGCATGATCTATTATATTCATTATTGCTATTCTTAAAAAATTGCAAAGTTGTCGGGAAATGTCAAAAAACTCCAAACCAAATGGCATAAGTTGCAGAAAAACTGTGTTATTTTATCTGTCCTGTAAATGTACACATACATTCTCCTGTTCTCTGCTAGTTCTTGTGTAAGTCTTAACAATGCAATGAATCCTGACATCTAGCTTAACCTATCATTAGTACATATACACTGTATCTCCAAACTCTGGAGTTGTCATTTATCCTCCCAACAGTCCTCGTTTTACATGGCGACCCTGCCAGTACACTTACTGATTGCAAATATACAAGGAAATAAAAACTACTAATGCACATACCACAGAGTATAATAAATATTTTTAAAACACAATTAACATACATACATAATAGATTTATTATTAATTAATAATTGTATGCTTCATATAAGCAGATTTTATAAAAACCATGTTTTCAATAACATCTTATAATGTAAATATTGTCATAATTTTTACAAATAAAATCATTATTACTATTAAACACATATATACATATAAATATAAATACCTACTATATGCAAATACATACCTAATAATCATCTATATCTATAGTTCTATACTATTTCACTGCCACCTGGCAGTGAAATAGTATAGAACTATAGATATATAGCAGATAGAGAAACATAGTAGCAGAAACAAAAAATGTTTAACATGGACATAGTCATGGGTAACAGCTAGTCTATACTAATTTTAAAGAGGTATCATTTGTAAGTTTTAATGTTTGTGGTTAGGATGGAGTAGTTTTCAGTACAAAAAAGTAAAATACCATGCGGACAAAGTCAGTCAATGGTTAACAGGTAAAAGTTCTGTTTCCAAGTATGTTTGCAATTAAAAAACAGAATGATTAATGATTATATACCTAATTACAACACTGATAACAGATTTTCATGTATGATATAAAAACATTCAATGATATTGAGAATATACAGCATGTCAATAAATAATAACCCTTATTATGTTTTACTGAAATGTTGTATAAAGAATGTTCTGTTTTCACAAGCAAGTAAATCTATGATCAAAATAATTTACAATTAAGTGTTATTTTTAAACTACTTTTTATAAGACCTTCAATTCTATGATTATGTAAACTAATAACAGAGGTATGTCTATAATAACATAAAAGTTTGAATTTGCACTTACTTGTCGTCAATAACATCTTCAGGGCTTCTGGCTTCACCCAATATCCGAAGGCGAGCCTCCTCATACTCTTTCTGTCTCTGTTCCAGGGTTTTGACGGGACGCGAACGGCTTTCACCGTTCAGTTGTCCACTTGCCGAGGATGACGGCCTCTTGAGGATACGAATGGCTGGCTCTGGCATAACGCACTGAGATCCTATACACGCGTTTTCTTCAACAGTAACCTTGCAACCTTTCAGAGCCGTCACAGGAGCGCATTCACTTGACATCAGTTTAATCTTCTGGTCTAACTAAAAAAGATCATGAAATATTTGATTAACTGAACAACGTAGAACTACAAAATGAAAGTGTCCAGGGACAACGTTCAAAGTATAACTTACACCAATTTCGTCCATATCCTCCCAACTTTCACATACGTCAACTTCATCTTGGGCCGCCATATTGACTAATATTCTTTTTTAATTTTACTATTGCCATTGTAAAAAAACTAGTTTTGCCAAGTATTTTTTTCTAATTAGGTAAGTAAGGCAGTGTTTCGGAACAAATTATTTTATATTTCGGGTTGTCAATTAATATATTTTAATACAGTATATAGTGGAAATAATTTCCTTATTTTTATTCAAATACAAGACATATACTTATTACGAAGTTTCCATATTTATACGTACCTAAAATAATAACAGTAAAGACATTTATTCAGCATTATATATATGTATACCAGTATCTGCAGTTTACAATTATGTTGGAATTTTAACTAGATTAGAAAGTAATACTGAAAATGACTACAATTTAGCGTTTATAGCATAATTAAATTATACCACAGCGCACTTTCAGTGAAGCCACCAATCATGAGACAGCAGACAGCTAAAGAAAATAACCAGTATTTTATAAATAGGTAGAATAATAAATGTTTATAAATGTAATTTAATGATTGCATATGGGATTGGCAATGTATTATAGTAAATATGTTTCCCAATGCTTCAATAATTAGTAGTATATATCCAGAAATTGAATTCAATTTCTGAATATGACATTAGTTAGTGATTATTCCAAAACCAAAAGTAAAAAATATTATAAAAAGTTGATATTTAGGCGTAGTTAACATTTTATAATATAGTTTTCACAATATGTTATTTTATTGGTTAGCTATCAGAAAAATCTTAAATTATTTATTCACAAATACTGAAATGACACCATACGAAGATAATTTCTTTTGTAAAGAAGGCAGTCATTGTTTTAGTGAATCATTAAAAATATATATATAAAATAAACCTATATACACTGTATTAATTTTGTGTTTATAATCCTTTAATGAATAATCTGCCACATGATATTTTCGATAGTGCCAAAACCCTATTTAAAAATTGCAAAAAGCTGGCAACATAGAAATGTCAAATAAAAAAAAACTGAAAAACACACTCAGTCTTCTAACTTTGGTTATAATTTGGTTAAAATTCAATTCATTATCCAAATTGAAAAATCATTATTTATTTTATAAAAACCTCTTTACAGTCCTTACTTATTATTTCAATCTGATTTTTTTAGAATATGTAAATAATAAGCCCGCCAGGTAACAATGCACTAATACATAAGACATTTTTTCTATACACAAATCTATAGGTTATGTTTCCTAGTTTTATAGTAGAACTGAATTTATTATATTAATTAATAACTAGCTGTACACGCGACTTCGCCCGCGTTGAATTTAACTTTATTTTACTAAAATAAAAGTAGCCTAAGTTACTCCTCATTACATCAGCTACCTGCCAATAAAAGTCCCGTCAAAATCGGTCCAGCCATTTCAAAGATTAGCCGGAACAAACAGACCGACAGACAGACAGAAAAAATTGTAAAAATGTTATTTTGGTGTATGGTACATACACCAATATATATACATAAAGGTACATACATAAAGATTTATATTCATATGCATGTAGTAATAAATGGTTATTTCAATATTAGAAACAGACACTTCAATTTTATTTATATGTATAGATGTATTGAGTAAGACATTCTTACTTTAAACCAATTATTGCAAATATGAAATCTGCTTACAATATGTTTTATATGTACTTACAGATCTAAATATGGCTACAAAAACCTCATTTCCTTCGGTCCTGACTGGTATGACATCCATCGATCCAGATTATGTCCAGTTCTTGACGTTCAGTGATGAAGACATCAAGAAACTAAGTGTGGTGAAAATAACAAATCCTATTTCTTTTGATGGTGTAGGAAACCCTACTCAGGGTGGTTTATATGACTCTGCTTTAGGACCAGTGAGAGATCGGTTTGATGCTTGTGCAACATGCGGCAATGTACTTCTTCATTGTCCTGGCCATTTTGGTCATATAGAACTTCCTTTAGTTGTAGTAAATCCTCTCTTCCAAAAAACAATATATTCACTGTTCCGGATAAGTTGCCTTAAGTGCTTTAAAATCCAAATGGATAATAGAACAAAGTTTCTATTAAAGCTTCAGCTAGAATTAATAGAAGCTGGTCATGTAACTGCTGCACTTGACTTAGAACATTTCACTGGAGATATTAAGGTACTTAATAAAGAAACTAGAAAAGAAAAAACTCACAAAGTGATTAAGAAATGTCAGAAATTGTTAAAAAGTGTAGATCCTGTTACTGAGGTGTTTCACAATAAGAACTCGGATAAATTACGTTCGAAAATTATGAACAGTTATTTTCGGTCTATAAATATAGCGAAAACCTGTGCATTTTGCAGTAACAAGTTAATCAAAATTACAACATCTGCGGGTAGACTTATGTGTAATAGTAGTAGTGATGGTACTGGTAAAGGAGTGAAAATACTCATGCCTGATGAAATAAAAAGCTACTGCACAAAAATTGCTCAAAATGATGAAGATATTTTAATTCACAGCATACCACTGCTTCGAAATACAAAAGTAAAGCCTGTGACTGATATATTTTTTATGGAAGTAGTCCCCGTGGTACCAAATAATATTCGACCCTGTAATGTATTACAAGGAGAATTGGTAGAACATGCTCAATCCAATATTTATAAGTCAATTTTGCAAATATCGTTTACCATTAGAGTTATATTGCAAGTTTTGTCAGCATCTGATCACCAAAAAACTATAAATAATTTGGATAAAAGACCTCGAAATGTATATGAACACGCTTATGGTGGAACACCTGCTGAAAAATTACATAATAGTTGGCAAGAGTTGCAAAAAACGGTTAATATGCTCTTGACCTGTGAAAATCAGGGGTTTGCTAGTAAAGGTTTAAAACAAATAATAGAAAAGAAAACTGGTTTAATTAGAATGCACATGATGGGTAAAAGAGTAAACTTTGCTGCTCGGTCAGTTATTACACCAGATCCCAATGTGGACATTGATGAAATAGGTGTTCCAGAAGCTTTTGCCAAAAAACTTACATATCCTATACCAGTAACTGAATGGAATGTTGATGAACTACGAAAAATGATTATAAATGGACCAAATATTCATCCTGGTGCTGAAAAACTGGAAATCGAGAATGGACGAATTATTAGGATTCCACCTGATTCAATTCAAAAAAGAAAAAGTATTGCAAAGAGGTTATTGACCCCAGATGAATATAAAACATCTGGTTTAAAAATTGTGCATAGACATTTGATAAATGGTGATATAATGATACTAAACCGTCAGCCCTCACTTCATAAACCTAGTATGATGGCCCACAGAGCAAGAATACTCAAAGAAGAAAAAACCTTAAGATTGCATTATGCCAATTGTAAATCTTACAATGCTGATTTTGATGGTGATGAAATGAATGCACATTTTCCACAAAATGAAATTGCAAGGAGTGAGGCTTATAATATTATGTCTGTTCGTAAACAATATCTGGTCCCAAAAGATGGAACTCCATTAAGTGGTTTAATTCAAGATCATGTCATTTCTGGTGTGAAAATGTCCCTCAGAGGAAGATTTTTTTCGAAAGCTGACTATCAGCAATTAGTTTTTCAAGCCTTAACCAGTCATAGAGGTGAAATAAAACTACTCCCACCAACAATCATAAAACCAGTAATGCTTTGGTCAGGGAAACAAATTTTGTCTACTATTATTATCAACAGCATACCTAAGGGAAAAGCTTATTTGACATTAATGGGGAAAGCAAAGATCAGTTCCAAAGCTTGGCAGAAAGAATCACCCAGAAAATGGAAAGCAGGTGGTACACCATTCCTAAATCCAAATACCATGAGTGAGGCAGAGGTTATAATAAGAAAAGGAGAACTCTTATGTGGAGTGTTAGATAAATCACATTATGGCGCAACACCCTTTGGCTTAGTTCACTGCATGTACGAGCTTTATGGGGGAGACAGTTCTAGTGCTCTATTGAGTTCATTTTCGAAAATATTTACTTATTATTTACAGTGGATTGGTTTTACTTTAGGTGTCAAGGATATTCTTGTTGTAGAAGAAGCTGACAGTAAACGCGATGATTATATTTGTTTGGTTAAAGATGTTGGTAGAGTTGCAGCTCTGAAAGCCACGGACCTGCCAGTAGATATTGATGACAACAAATTAAAGGATACTATAGGTGAAAGGTACACAAAAGATCCAAAATTTAGAGCTAGTTTAGACCGACAATATAAAAATATGCTTGATTCATACACAAATAATATTAATAAAGTCTGTTTATCTGAGGGCCTATTAGAAAAATTTCCCTACAATAATTTGCAGCTAATGGTTCAGTCAGGTGCTAAGGGTTCAACTGTTAATACCATGCAAATATCTTGCCTACTAGGCCAAATTGAGTTGGAAGGTAAAAGACCCCCTCTGATGATATCGGGCCGTTCTCTCCCAAGTTTCCCCCCATTTGACACATCCCCTAGATCTGGAGGATTCATCGATGGTCGTTTTATGACTGGTATACAACCACAGGAATTCTTTTTTCATTGTATGGCAGGTAGAGAGGGTCTTATTGATACTGCTGTAAAAACTAGTAGATCTGGTTATTTGCAAAGATGCTTAATCAAACATTTAGAAAGCTTAAATGTGGCATATGATCATACAGTCAGAGATTCTGATGGAAGCGTTATTCAGTTTGCTTATGGAGAAGATGGTCTAGATGTTCTTAAATGTCAGTACTTTAATGAAAATCAATTAGAATTTCTTGACATCAACTCAAATGTTGTTGTGGGCAAGTCGGTAATAAAGAAGCTTAAAGAAAATTCCGACCCAAAGTCAATAGCTAAATCATATAAAGCACTGAAAAAATGGAAGAAAAGAAATGGAAATCCACTACAAAAGTCACGATTGAGTGCTTTTGCAAAATTTTCAATCGATGCTAAAAAAGATATAATACTTGAAAACAAACCGACTGATCAAACTAGAGATCCATATTACTGGACACTCGAAAAAATGTGGCGTGAATTAAATGAAGAAGATAAACAGCTATATAAATCAAAGTCTTGTCCTGATCCCATACCGAATAAAATGGCTCCTGAATACAAGTTTGGTGTTATAAATGAACTACTGGATGGCATGATACAGAGCTATATGAAAAATCGAGTAGAAAGTCAATTTGACAATTACACAGAAAAAGATAAATTCGTAGAAGTAATGAATGCCAAATATCTAGCTTCGATGGTTACCCCTGGTGAACCTGTAGGATTATTGGCTGCTCAGTCTATTGGTGAACCATCTACGCAGATGACATTGAATACCTTCCATTTTGCTGGTCGAGGTGACATGAATGTCACTCTAGGTATTCCTCGACTCCGTGAGATCCTTATGACTGCGTCAGTAAAATTGAAAACTCCGAGTATGGATATACCCTGCCGCACTGATATTCCAAATATGCAAAAGAAAGCTGAGCGTCTCAGGCAAAAGCTGAACAGAGTTAACGTGGCAGATGTTTTAGAAAAAGTTCACGTGCAATGCGAAATAGTAACAAAACCTAATAGAGAATTAAAGACAACACTCCGATTCACATTTTTACCTCACTCTCAATATAAGACTCAATATTCTGTAAAACCACCACAGATTATAAAACATATGCAGAATAAATTCTTTACGGAGATGTTTACTACTATAAGGAAGCATGCGAAGACTACATGCGGTGTAATGTGGTCAGCAGAGAAAGAAAAGAAACGGCGGCAGGTCGGAGGTGAAGACGAAGAGAACGAGAATCCTGTTGATACTGAAGAAAAAGGGGACAGTGGTAAAGTTGATGATAGCTCCGACGAAGAAGGTCCTAACGAAGATGATGACAATACTGATGTGAGTAACTTAAATCTATTTGTCTTACTAATATAAATTTACGTTACATTAGGCCCATTGCAGTTTCGCGGTGGGATGTTACCGCGACCCCGTGGTTGCGGCAATGTTGATATCTTATACGTGCAGCAGATTGTATTTGCTGACGTGTTAAGAAAGTTTACTGCAGTTAGTTAGAAAATAGTTAACCTGTGTTGGATGTTTATATATAGTACTTATTAAAAGGTAACATAAACAGTGCCCTTACCTTTGATATTAATACTAAGTTTAGTTTGTCAGAATCAAACTTTGCGGGTAATCGCTATTAGTTTTACGTTTACGTTATTAGTTGTTTTAAATTAATTTATAAATTCTGTTTGATTCGTTTTTAACCAACTAATCGCGACTCTATATATAGCAACTGTCATTATAAAAGTAACGCTTTAATCAATTAAACTTGTTTTCTACCTTTGTTCTATAATATAAGTAAACAAAACGGAGTATTTATTATATTGATGCCTGTTTTTAAAAATTGTACATACTAAATCTAATTATAAGAAGGTAACTGAAGAAACATTGAAACAATAATAATGTAATTTCAGGCAAAAATTCGTCAGAAAAGAACAGAAGAACAAGAGTATGAAGATCCAGAATCCGATGAAGAAGAGAAATCTGAAGATGAATTAGACCTAGTAGATGAACCGACGAAAAATTTGGATGAAGAGGAAATTGCAGATGGTCTAGATGAGACACAAAAGATCTCCAGTAAAGTTGTCGGCAGTGTCCAGAATGCCACTAACTACTCTTTTGATACGAATAATCACCAATGGTGCGAAATAACTGTACTATTTCCTGTATCATTCTTAAAAGTAGATTTGTCTCAGGCGCTACGTGAAACCGCTATGAAGTCGACTATCTACGAGGTTAAAAATATCAAACGAGCTATTACAACCAAAGAAAAAGATGTATGGTATATTAAAACTGAGGGCATAAACATCTTACAAATGTTTAAATACAATGATCTCTTGGACTTAAACAAGTTGTACAGTAACGATATTCACGCCATTGCGAACACTTACGGCATAGAAGCAGCTAATAAAGTGATCATAAAAGAGATTCAGAACGTATTCAATGTGTATGGTATCACTGTAGATGCTAGGCATTTGTCACTAATAGCGGATTATATGACTTTTAACGGCATATTCGAACCGATGAGCAGGAAAGGTATGGAGGCTTCTAGCTCACCTCTGCAGCAAATGTCGTTTGAATCCTCAGTAATATTTATGAAAGACGCCATTTTGAATGCAAAGAAAGATAATTTACGATCGGCATCTAGTTGTCTGATGATAGGTCAACCATGCCGCAGCGGAACTGGTTGCTTCACCTTGCAACATTGCAGCAAAGTTATTGTATAGTAATTTCCGCCAATTACGTAGTTATTAACACATAATTGATTTCAATCTGTTGTTATGATTTTAGTTTTTATAAGTAATACATTATTTTTGCCATTAGAATGTTTTTTTCATTTATAGTTCCTTCATTGTCATTGATAATGTACATTACTTCGAATCTAATACAATTTATAAAATAACTAGCGACCGGTCCTGGCTTAGCACGGGTGAATTACAAATATTTAATTTCTCAACTGGTTCTATACTATAACATGCATATATTATACACATAAAAACTTTTCTTTCCTCTAGATTACTATGTCTATTGCTGAAAACTGCATTAAAATTCGTTGCGGAATTTAAAACATAAGCGAACAGACAGCGGCGACGACTTTGTTTTATATAATAATAATATATACTATGTAAAGATTATCACGATACTAGCTCTCAAATGTCGTTACACGTCGTCACAGTTAATTCAAATTATATAGAGATAGAATAATTGTACTATTTATTGTACATCAGAAAGTTTATTGGAGTGAGCTACATGGCTTATTAGTAACGTGCTAGTCTGTATTATGTGAAGAGGTACTAATGGAAGGGTTTCTGTTTCGAGTGTTGACAGAAATATTATAAGTGCACAGAGCTTATACATCAGAATAACATATAGGCCATAAATTTCTCCTCCTCTTTGGTGCAAGGCGAAGCTCGAACACTAGCAATTGATACATACTATAAAAGGCAAAATAAAACTGCGTAACGTTTTTTTTATAAACTTTGTAATTAGCCGAATTTTTATAAGTAACGCTTATACAAAAACAGCATGGTACCTAATCAATTCATACAGCTTACGATATCAATGTTGCGTTCAACGCAATACGATACGATTTGGGAATATTTGTACTCAAAATACATACAACAAGGCACACGCTTACATTGTCTCAGACAAATGATGTAGTAATCATATTACTCAAGCAAGTGGTATATAATTATCAACAATATATCATACAAGGAGTTTATGTAAATGGGAATTAAACATATTGCCCATTGGAACATAAAGCCGGCACTATATCATCGTCCAATTGTCCAATTATTGATCCAAATCGAAAAGTAGTTCGTAAATTTGATCGTGTTGGCGAGTGTTGCCAGTAAATCTTACTCAATACTCATATCCAAGTAATTGTCTAATCGTAGGAATAGACTAATACATATCAACAGTATATCATATCATTTCAATATCATCCATAGTGATTAAAGTTAATTGGTGGTGTTATTGGACAAGATTAGACATGTTCTAACATGTTGAATGATAGTATAGTGCTGGCATAAAACAGATATATTGTTATCCAATAGCGAGAATTCTAACATTCATATTCATTTCAATTTTTTTGGCATATAATCTATTCAAGTCAGTCCCCATTTAGTCATAAAATCCTTGATATAAACAATAGGAAGCTCATGTCTAATTCCTAATACTAAGTGACCCATTTTAAAACATTTGTGTTTTCAAACTCAATAACTTATGGTCATACAGCTTAAAATTAATCTAAATTATTAATAGAATGATCACATTAGCTCATGGACTGATCGCCCTCTGACGTCACACAAATAAAACTACATCCATACGTATCACAAAAATTCCACTCCTTGCTAAGAAATATAAATCATAAATTGCAAAACATAATAAAAAACACAGGAATGAACTATAGGCTAAAAGGATGGCGATATACAAAAAATAAATAAGAAACCATAAAGTTCCAAGTATATATAGTAGGAAATTCATATTATTTTTAATCTATCAAAAATTCATCATTTAAAAAAAATATCTCATGTTATATAACTGAGATACTTTTATTTTAATGTTTGTGCACAATACTAAAGCAGATTTAATAGTGTAACACAGTTATGTTATAATCACAGAATTTAACAAATTTATATACAGCAATTACCATTCATGAAATATTAACAACTGCAACCTTTGGATAGTTCAAATATAGCTAGTTCAAATCCCACCTGTTACATTATCAAGGCCCTGATCACACTTGTCTCTTTCCAAGTGTAATTTATATATGTAGGTACTCCTACGTAAAATAACAAATCTAATACAGGTTAATGTGTCTTTGTCCATTATTATATTGAGTAGTAGCAAAACATGTTTTCTTTTATCCCAAATATTCCTTATAATACAGGGAATTATAACATATTTCTCTCCAAGGAGGGAATTTTTTAAATTATTTTAATATAAGCAACAACTGCTTTTTGGAGTAAACAATATAACAACTGAATATTACCGTTTGGCACACTAATTCCTCGATAGACTAATTAATTGAATATATAAAGGCTTTATTGATAACCAAGTATTAAAACCTATTTCTTGTCTATGGTTATTTAAAAAAATTAGCTTCAGCCATTTCAGTGCCGATTGGTTAGTCTATTGCGAATTTTAGCGGAACTAGTACATTTTTTTAAAACATTACAATTATATATTCGAGTTTCTACAATTTTATAAAATGCTGCATAATGGCACTGTTTAATAATAGTATATTACGATATAAGTGCGTAATAGAGCCGAGTGTGTTAAATACGCACATCGTACGACGTTTTTCAACACACTTGATTTTAAATAATCTCACCATAAAACTGTGATACAAACTGTTGTTTTCCCGCCATTGTACTTTTATAAATTAGCGCGTTGCTTACTGACTGGCGCCGCGCGGCGGTCAGTTCGTAATTTGAAAAAAAAAGCAAATAGTGCTGTTCTATATAACTTCATTATTTACGTTTATAACGCACACGTGTTTCATGCGCTGATTTTATATCGAAAATTAGATCGACTTTACGGAATGTGAGTGCAAGTGTGTTGAAAAAAATAACAGTTTTATACATTAAAAAAAACTATAAATATGTCACATAAAGTCACTGGCGTAGGACGGTAACATTGTTTTTTCTTGGACCCAAAATGTTAATATTCATTCATTTCTCACTTCAAGCTATAATATACGAACAATACTTATATGGTACATATATTTAACTAATCAATAAATAGCATTATTAAATATTACGTGAATAAAAGTTGGCGCAATACGAGTTCCTATTAAAATTTAAACACGACAATATCACAGCCCTATTGATGTGCTTCCCGTTGTATTCTTGTATACAAACAAACAGAATTCAAAACATAAAACGTTAAATTCTGTAGAAAAATAACAAGAGCCACAATTCTTTACACAAATCTAAATACTGTATGTCTATAGTAAAGCAAAATATAATTATGGAGGGAAATCTTTTTTTTTAATAACAACAACCTACAAATTTAATTAAAAAAATAAAGGAACTCGTATTAAGTTGAACGCTGCCTGTAATTACGCAAATATATTTTTTTGTAATACTTGTGTCAAACACGTGACAATGTAAAATGTAATTATGGCGTAAATGCACAATCGATTAGAATTAGGGTTGACAATCGTAACACGCGTAAACCGTAACAATTTATATATATACAAGTGTTAAACGAATCGATACCATATAAAAACAACAAATTGAGACGACTTATTTCTTCTCATATACTTTATATGTATAATAGCGAAATTGTATCTACCAATGGATTTGCTTGTTACTTATCAATTATTTGTATATGTTACGATTCACGCCACTATTGTCGATTGTATGCAAATAATAACCGCTTAGTATCAAACGGGCCGTATGCTTCACGTTACAATATATACAATATCACATTTAAAAAACAGTGTAAATTAAAACAATATCTTTTAATTAAACTGCCTTTACATAAAATAAAAAAAATACTTTTACGGCCCGGATACTGACTTTTTACAGCGTTATTACAATACCGTTGTGTTGCCAGTTCATGCAGTATGCAGGCGTTCCCAACTTTTATTCGAACCTGTTTAATGAGCTGTCTCTTGCGTCTGATTATTAGGCGCTTTCTTCTCTAGTTTCGCCGCTTTCTTCTCTGCTGCTTTCTTAGCTATCGCCTCGTCTTCCGCCGGATTGTCCCAGTCCTGTCTCCGGCCGGAGCCGAATATATTGTAGAACGTCGCACAGAACATGTAAATACCGGCAGCGATGTAGAACACCTTCCTCCATTGTGCTTGGGTCGGCTGGAAAAATATATATAAAAAAATACTACTGTATTCACAGCTGAACAGAATATAAAGAAATTTAAAAGGACACTAGGCTGTACAGTCTATGGATCTTTGCCAGTTCCATGATTGAAAAAGAGATGGACGAATATATCCAAATAAGCTAATAATAATGTTAACGGACCTATATAAAAGAATCCAATGGCTATCCGGATATACAACAAATTACCCACCCCTTTAAAGGAATTGCCATTGACACAATTTAAAATACAATTATTTAATTTATTAGTTGACAAATGTTATTACACAGTTAATGATTATATAAACGAGTTAACTAATTATTAGAAAACATAATATATTGTCAATTCGAACTTGACTTTAACATTCCTAGTGAATATATAACAGTTTTATAAAAAATATTTTATTACTTTCATAATAATAATAAATGTATAAGATGTAATTTAATTGAATTGTGTAAAGAATAATAATAGATTAATTCAAATATATTTCAGTCAAAACAATCTATATAACATAAATAACCATAAACTAAATTTCATTTCATTTCGTTTTGTAGTTCAAAAAATCCGCTGTTGCGGGATAAAAATCTATCTATAAATTAATACGTGTAGCTAAAACTTCGTATCCCTTTTAATGAAAATTGCGCGGCCGATGGAGTGTGAATTTCGCACTCTTATAATTTATGTATACAAAGAGTGCAGAATACTAATGTCTTTAAACTATGCATAAAAAATCGTTGAGTATATTTTGCATGAAAGAGTAACAAACATCCATCGATCCATCTATACTCACAAACTTCCGCGTTTATTATAATTAGTTGTTTACCTAACAGAAAACTGTATATTTTTGTAATTCACAATAATGTTAGAATATGCTTACCCTGCCCTCAATGATGTAGCCGGCTACGATGGGCGCAAGTAGACCAGTCAAGTTGGCCAGACAGTTGGTGAACGCCATCAAAATACCCGCGAAACGTGGAGACAGGTCCAAATGGTTCACCTGTACAAAAGATTATTAAGATATTGGACTAAATTCGTACATTATGGCAACATTTTTATTTTTGGGTAGTTGTTATCTCATACTCATTTCTTGTATAGGATACTAGCTGTGCCCGCGGTTTCAACCGCGTTAAATTTCAATATATAATATAGTCTGTGTGTTATTCTGATGCATAACCTACATTACTGTAAAGTTTTAACAAAATCCGTTCAGTAGTTTTTGCGTGAAAGAATAACAAACATCCATACTTACAAACTTTCGCGTTTATATTATTATTAAGATGTATAGTTTTAAAATATACGGTTCTACACCATGTCCGGGTCACCTCCACACGGTTCCTCCTGGAAACCGTCATGATGAATTTCTCACGATGGACTACCTGACCTGTTCTCCTATTTACCTTATCATCCTCCACTGGTGCCCCGCCAGCATAAACCTTTATCGCAGTCGTGTCCACCGTTCCGTTATCATCCTTAAAAAAATAGTGGTAACTGACCTTAAAACCAGAGTAAATGCCACCGTTGAGACCGACACCGATGGCGAGGACGGCGACCGTCGCCGCCGGGTTGCAGCCCGTGTTTGCAGCGATGAACAGACCAATAGCGGGACCGTATTCACCTGTACCACAGATAACATAATATTACACAAGTGGCCCCTCCGATCGATGCCACTATTCCCCCGTCCAGTTCATACGGGGATCGAAGTTATGACTTCCTGAGCCGAGGTTCGAAGCTCTAGCCTGTGACTGTGCTTTCAGACTTATAGAGCGACTGAACTCCTACCTGACGGAAAGAGTTCAGCCGCTCTATAAGTCCTTCCGCGGGTTTGGAGTGCCATTTGCGCTCGCCGCCGTTCGTGAAGTTGTAAAGGCCACCTGCGGCCAACAGCATTAGAGCAGTCCGAAAAATTACAATTACCTGTACTAAAGTCAAACGAACTATATTAACCTGTTAACCGGGCAACACGCATAAATGCGTCAGGCGTAAACCATATCGGGTACGGGTATTTATTTATTTATTTATTTTAGGCTTTGCATTCCATAATTTTACAGCAAATAGATAGACAGGTACATTTCAAAGTAGGTTAATTATGGACCCTGTTGGGCACAGCAAGCGGAAGACAAGAGAAGAGAGGGTAGGACGGGTAGTATATTAATACGTCTTTGAAAATTTATTTGCGCCCTGGAACGGATGGAGCGTATATTTTCGTCTTCGTCCGAATTGTAGTGCAGCATTATGTATTAATAATTGTTTTAAAATATATCACACAGAAATTAAGTTTTGAATTTTTATATGTACCGATTGCGTAATTCTATTTTGTTTATGTGCTTTTACTTGTTTTGTGATTCCTTTTGTACTTTAAAAATATTAATAAACGATATATATTTAGTAGTTTTTCATTTATTTTATGTAAAAATATATAAATATGAAATGACCGTCTCCGAGCGTGACGTATTGACATGTCCTAGTGAAATAATACGCGCATAATTTGAACGGGAACTACTCGGTTAACAGATTAAGGAGAGTTTGTCCCACGCAATAAAATTACGATTAGTAGAGAGTAAAAAACTCTAATGCAGCGGAAGCTACGATAGGACTTTCGTCTGAGGGCACGGGCACTGGCTCGAACCTCGGCCCAGGTCGTTACAATTTCGGTCAATCCGAGGGGAAAAATTACGATGTAGATATTCTTTAGTATTCGTTCTATCTCTATTTAGAAGTCTTGTGTCTCCCCTCACCCAAACGCGATAGCTATACTTTCCTTGTTGCTGTCAATGGTCTTTCAATGGTGCCTCGCCAGTGCACTATTCATTCAACCGTTTTTATTCTCGTTCATACAAAAAAGAGACTCACCTATACTGTTGATGATTTTTCTGACTTGTGTATGGTTGAGACGACCGCTGGACAGCATCCAGTCAGCGACCACCGAGATGAACATGGAGAACAGCCACATGCAGAGATAGGGCAACGCGGACACGAACCCATTCTATTGTGACATATACGAATAATATTTAAATCTTAAGATATCAAAGTATATGACATCGAATAATTTATTTTCACATTTTGGTAACGCTCTAACTATATAGAAATAGTTAAAAAAATAGCCGTATGTACATTATAGTTTTAACTACTTATATAACTGCCGTTTCTAATGATATTTAATAGATTTCACTTTTACTAAATTGTATTACGAAAAATCTTCGTGAGGAATTGGGAGCAAAATGGTGGAATAATTTAATTTTATAAGACGAAAATTTTGATTTGTTTAGAATGTGAGTGTATAATATGAACATTAGTATTAAACAAAAATATCAAATAATATACAAAGAATTCCTTGTGAAACCTAATTGGATAGTTGAAGATAGTGCAGATTATTAAATACATACGGCGTCGCTAATTTCAAATGCTGAGTTACACGTAGTGTCAGAGGTCGACTCAGTAAATTGCCTAATTGAATAACATGGCGACCAATTGTATTGATGCTGGTAGAGCATTATAAGATTTATGATTTTCAGAAAAGAAAAGGTAGCGATATAAGTAATAAGTAATTAAAACTGCAATGTAGATTCGGATAAATTTGTTACTATACTGTTTTAAATTTGACACGGTCATTATTTATACGTATAATTAGTAAAAATCACGGGATCTTAATATCAGGAACATAATAAAAATAAAACGTGGCAAGGTAAGATTTTTACTTAATTATACGTATAAATTTGTTACTATTTCCATTTAGTTAGAGCGCTGATAAAAAAAATTGAAGATAAATAATTTGTTTACTTTTTCTGTAAGTTTAATTACATCAGAATATTACTATATTTTCATTTCTAACAACACCTTTCCTTAGTAAGGTGTTGCTAAGTAGAATATTGGTGTCCCCATTTCTAACAAACCCTTAATAAAGTGGTGTTAAGGTACATAAGTGTGTGTCTCACATCTTTGATGGAGAAGTGCAACACTTGTCGCATGAATGTGGGCAGCTCCGTCATGAGCGTCTCGTAGCCGTAGTTCTGTCCCATATGAGCCAACATGATGGCCCAGAATGGCATCGACATCAAGATCTTCCTCCACGGTATAGGCGGCGACTGCAATTTTAAATTTTGAAAACTTATGATAAATTTTGTTGTAAAATTTTTACAACTTTGTACTAATATTTTATAATTTAATGGAGTCACTATGTTTTCGTCTTTCACGACAATCCTTTGACTGTCCATGTATTGTATTTATATTTAAGTATATAACTTGATACACAATTAAGAATTCTATTTAACACATGTGACGAGGTGTCGCTACATAATTTGTTTATTGAGTATCTAGGAAGTGAGTATACCAAATAAACTTACTAATGAACATATAATAATTGTTCATTAGTAAGTTTATTTGGTAGTGTGCTACATGTCTTATTAACAACGCGTACATTCGACGCGGAGTCGTAATGTGGACTGACTTTACACTGAACTTAAATCTATGAGATCTGTAGAGATACTAATAGTAGGGTCTCGAGTGTTGAAAGAAATATTACAAGTGTGGACACATTAAAAAAAAAGACTGATAAAAACTTAAAAGAAAAGGTGATCTTGTCGCTATTAGCAATTTCTTACAGACAATAAAAATATGACAAAAAAGAAAATACTCACACTAGAGCCAGCTGTACCCCACAATGAATTCAAGATGTATTTCTTCTCGTTCTCTTTGATACGTTTGCATTGTTCCGGGTCTTCGGATACAAAGAACAGGAAACCGAGGCACCAGACAGTCCCGATAAGTCCGAACACGTAGAAGATGGACGGCCAGCCGCCTGAGAAACCGTATTCGGACAGTAGGCCCGAGAGAGGCATGGAAATAACCGTGCCGAACTGGGCTCCTACGAACAAAGGTTACATGTTAGAATATAGTAATAATAATATCCTAATTCACACAACGCCATCTAGTCCCAAGGTAAGAAAATCGTGTATTATAGATACTAATAATAATAATAGTAATAATTTATTTATTGCCAGAACAAAGGGCAAATATACCATACATTTGAATTCATAAACTGTTTACTTAAAAGAAAAAAAAAATTATAAAGAAATAAGCCTCTTAAACTACGTATAAAGCAGAAACAATAGTACATCACAGTACATATTCTGGGCAAAAGGGACTGACTCAGCTGATGCTGTGAGTATAACATTTACACGTACGCTGCACACCCCTCCGATCAATCCCCCGTCCAATTCAAACGGGGATCGATATTACGACGGCCTGAGCCGAGGTTCGAACCCCTAGTGGTGCCCTCAGACTAAAGTCGTATCCGTCAGGCAAGAGTTGGCCTTCAGCCACTCCATAAATCCATCCGCGGGTTTGGAGCACCATCTGCACTCGCCCCCTAACGTCCGGTGAAGCTGTAAAGGCCAGCTGCGGCCAACAGTATTAGAGTAGTCCGAAAAAAAAAAGTACGCTGCACAGCGCTGATTTTCAGTCAGTCCCTCTCATCTAATAAACTATATAATTATGCGAGCTGTTTAAAACAATTTTTACTAATAATTATTACTAGACGACATCTGATATTACTTTTTTTGTAAATACATCATAATGGTGGAATAGAACTTGCGACTATTAGAACAAATCCGGTGTGCTAACCGACCACCCACGCCGGCAATTATGATTGCTATTTCTCTTACTTACCGGCATATACGGCAGCACCCATTCTGCTCCTCTCGTTAGGTGGAATCCACTTAGCCAGCATAGCATGAGAGCATGGTACTATGGGTCCCTAAAAAAATTGCCAATTTTGAACAAAATCGAATCAAAAATCAGTTATTCATGTAGGACATTTTAGCCGCTTATAATATAAAAATATAATAAAAAAACTTTACATTCATAAGAATGTCAAGTTTTTTTATTATATTTTTCTCCTCTCCTCCGTCCAGTTCAGTACAGATTCAATTGAGAAGAACTGGCCAGAAACTTAACCGATTTTTTTAAAGCCAGTTTATTTACATGTTAAAATCCCGTGCATGAACAACTATTGCCATGCACGTTTGTTACTTAAGTAATCGTTTAGAGCTCTTAGGGAGTAATAGTCGTCTGTATAGGTACCTCTAATTCACCTATTTCTTTTTTATTATTATTATTAATACTACATTCATGCCATTCTAGCATCAAACAGCTCTTTTGTAAAATGTCTTTCTGCTTAAGGCTGAGACGTGGCAGTGAAATTAAAGTGTATGTACGTAAGTCGTCCAGAATGGCAACGCATGATAATGTGATATAATGATGAAGCAATTTCCGTGGTTTGAATGCGATACTGTTGATGTGTGTATGCAATGTCTACCACTTACCATGAGATGGGCTGTTAGATTGTTTACCTTTTAAATTAAATCATACTTAATTAAAATTATAAAAAAAATTAGTAACCCCCCTATAAAAATCGACGTCTTGTCTGCTTTCAAACAAAAAAAACACGCATCATAATCGGTTCATTAGTTTAGGAGCTACGATCACAGATAGATACACAGACACCTCAAACTGGCAACACCGATCTATTTGAGTAAAAAAAAAGTACAACTCACTTCTCCTAATCCTTGGATGAATCTGATGAAGATGAGCCATTCATAACCAGCATGAGCCGCAATCGGAACTAATAATCCGAACACGGAATTGATCAGCATACCTATGCCGAGAAACAGGCGGGCACCGTACCTGATGATAAAAGGATTCTGTTATAGTATAATCCAGGGCTTCACAAACTGTGCGTTCGTACGGCGTTGTCTCAGGGGCGGGGATGGATCGTGAATTTGTGGGGCCTTGGGATAAATCTAGTTAGGGGCCTACCTACCGTACCTAATTATATTACTCAACTAAAAAAATACACCGACCAAAAACAAGCGACCAGAATTGGCGGTTGGTTGCTCTCAGGGCTGCCAACCTTATGATAGGTTTTTTAACATTCTAGATATTTTTTATATTCTAAATAAATATCGTTTCAGTAGGGGGCGCTCTGTATCCACAGGGCCCTGGGCTGCAGCCCAAAAAGCCCTTAGGTAGATCCGCCTTTCTCAGGGGCGTCGCGTGTCGATGCGACATTTTAACCGAGTCTTCACATTAACCAATCAGTTACGTAAATATATCTTTTTATTTTTGTGCTTATGTTTTGATTTCGTTCTAATTTTCTAATAAAAAATATAAATGTCCAAATAGTGTTTTTCTGTTGACCTATTCAGTCATTAATAACATTCATTCATTCAAAATATAATAATATTAATTCAAATATGATTGACTATTCAGAAGTGCTTATTGAATTTTAAATTAATTTGAATAAAGATTATTTCTATTTCATCTATTCTCAATTTGACCACAGACTAACAATAAAGAAAAGATTTATTAATTATGCATAATTAAAACAAAAATAGCATTCTGTATTCCTTCTCTAGATAAACTTAATGTGTGAGAAATGTCATACTCCTCTTTCCCTTCAATTTTACAAACTTTTTGCTACGCGTATTAGTAGATATATAGTTACCTTTTGGACAAAATGCCGAATGGGATTTGCGTAAGCACATAGCCATAGAAGAAAGATGACAGAATGTACCCCTGTAGTGTTGAGTTCCACTCGAAGTCGCCATCTTGGGAAGCCTGCAAAATGCATTGTAAATTAATTAATCTGCCTACGTGAGAAGTAGCGCGACCTTGCGACTCCGGCAATGGCGCTTATAGGTACACGGTGTGGTTTTTTAGTGAATACCACACCCCCTCATTACCACTCTGACAGGGGGACGGTCTTTTAAGATTTTTCCACATAATAAAAAAAAGGCGTGTCCAGGTAGGACATGGTTGACTGCCATCACGGTACCTTGGCGTTAGTAGCGAGTTTAGCACTACCTGCCTGCCTTCCTTTTTTTCGGACTACTCTAATATTGTTGGCCGCAGCTGGCCTTTACAGCTTCACCGGACGATAGTGAGTGAGTGTAGATGGAACTCCAAACCCGCGGAAGGACTTATGGAACGGCTGAAGGCCAATTCTAACCTGACACATACGACTTTAATCTGAGGGCACCGCTTGGAGTTCGAACCTCGGCTCAGGCGGTCATAATTTCGATCCCCGTTTGAATTGGACGGGGGATCGACCGGAGGCTTTCCGTGGGGAAGTAGCCTCCGTGACGGATTTTCCACAGGTAAAAAAAGGCGTGTACAGGTAGGGACGAATGGTAATACCACAGATAACATAATATTACATTGTAATACGGTCGTATCAGTACATAAACTGAGTCATAACTGAAGTTGTCCGCAGATTGAGGAAACGTTAATTAAGACATAAATGTAACATTATTTTGATTCATTATGACTGTATTTAACATGACGTCATCTTAGGTTCCGCAGAATTAGCTTTATAGGTATTTGGAAATTTAGTTTAATCAGTAGTTACTCATGTAAGAAGAAGTTATTGTAAAATGTCCCAAGAAAACACTTTATAATTGTATTAATTTAAATTTCTTTTACTTTTTCTTAAGAAACAAAAAAATATGAAACATTGGAAAAGTTAGTACTTTTTTTTTAAAAACCAGATTATTTACAATGTATTTTTATATAAGTGTCTATGTCAACAATATCACGTTCACGTTGTTTAATGAACAACTATTGCCATGCACACTCGTCATTCAAGTAATCGTTTAGTGAGTGAGAGCTTTGCTCAGTAAATATGATTTAACAATCTATCCCTTGGTATGTTATTGTAAATTTTTATATCTATTCCCATAAAAGACCTATTGACTTTTCTAAACGATACTTGGGGACAGCAAGTTTGTCTTTAAATCTAGTATTAATATATACTATGTAAAGATGAAAGCTTACACTTGTAGAGTTTGAATGGTCGACCCCGCATTCGGTGTCCAGGTGTTCAGCGATGACTGGCAGCGCACTATGGTTGACCATGGCCACTATGGCCACAGACATGTTGGTCCTCATGATGTAAGCGTTCGCCATGCCCAGGAACAGCATGAAAGTGACGAAATGTCGCCGACCCAGGCCGCCTGCGGACAAGCATATGAAACATAATACTATTTAGCTGTTAAATGGATATATATTTTTTTATTATCTAAATTGTTTGTTTGTTTGTAATACTTTATTGTGCAATAAAATTATAAATAATAGGACACAATGTACTTAAAGAATAAATGCGTACAATGGCGGACTTATCCCAGAAGAGAGATTTCTTCCAGTCAATCTTTAAGTGACTGAGAGGAATGGAGGAATGGTGGAAGGTACATATATTATATATGGTATATTATATATGGTTATATATACTCTCGACTGAGTCGGTTTTTTAAACAGTAAAGAAGTACTGTTTCAAAAACCGACTCAGTCGAGAGTAAACTTAACAGTTAGTACGTTCAAACAAAAATAAAACATTATAGTACAATGTTCTGTTTATATATAATAAATAAATAAACAAATAAAAGTATTTTCAGTAAAGATACATGTACAAGTGATATACATCAGATAAAATACAAAATAGCTTATAAGTGCTCATAAGTAAAGATAGAGAAAGAAAATTAAAGAGAATATTCAACTAAAGAATGATTTTTATGTAGGTACAAGCCCGCAAAGATGTGTAAGGTAGACATTAAAAATACCTATCAAATTATATAGTAATATATATACAGTATGTACTACAAAATTATAAAGATTAATAAATAAACTAAACATTGAAAAATGTACTTGTAGACAATACAGATATTTCGCGAAACATTGTTTTTTTTCAGCTAGTAAAATAATTTTAGGCGTGTCTTTCATTCGTTAGTCAAATCAGATCATTATCTATGTGCCTAATGACGCATGAACGGAACACGAAAACCATTTTAATTATTTGTTTTAAAATTATATCTTACTGCTTAAAAAAATATAGCAATGTGATATTTTGTTTTGACGCAGGCCTTGCGTAGTTTAGATTTTTATAGTCAACCATGGTCGGATATCGTAAAACGGATACTACATGAATAAAGATATTTTGAATTTGAATTTGAATTTGAATTTGGATGGATTTGTAATATCCGTGGGTACGGTGGTAGGTGGTACAAGCGACCTGTCCCGGCTTCGCACGGATGCACTCTTTGAATAACTCGGGTTATCCTATACTGAAAATAATGTCTGTAGACTGTCCCATTCTAGGATACTAGGATGGGACAGGTTATATACATTAGGGTTTATATTTTTATTTTTATTAGGTACTTATATAGGTAAAGTTATATTATTAAGTTGTTATTAACAAGATGGACTATGTTGTCTGATATTCAATTATTATTATACTACAACACGCATGTATTGTACATATAAACCTACCTCTTGAATCACTCGTATCTATTACTGAAAACTACATTATAATCCGTTGCGTAATTTAGAAGATTTGCGAATAGTCAGCGGCGACTTTGCTTTATACTATATAAAGATAATAAATACCATAACTATATACAGTTACAGGAAAGTTATTCATAGAATTATGATTCTATGAATAATAATAATAGTAATAATATTTTATAAAAACACACAGCGCCATCTAATCCCAAGCTAAACAGAACTTGTTTTGGGTACTAGATACAACTGAAACTGCTATACACTTCCTTTTTAATACATACATATTATACATAGAACACTCTGATACAAACTGATACGAACAATCATGAATACAAATGCTTGTATCGTATCGAATCGGAATTGAACCGGCGACCGTTGGAAATTAAGCTGTATGCTAAACCGCTAACCCATCAAAGCCGTCTAGTGAATAATAGTTTTTTAGATTATATATTTACACTTTCATGCAATGCAAATACTGAACGGATTTTTATAAACCTTTCTATATATAGTTTATATTAAGTACACATCATTGTAACACATAGGCTAAAATTTTATTTGACGAATTACATTGGGCGAATTATAGTGATAATTACAAGTAAGTGAGATGCAGACGAAGTAGCGCGGGTTAGTTAGCAATATTTTCCTATACCTAGATTAAACAGAAGATAGTTTTATCGTAATTGAAGCATCTCATCTGTACACTGCTATTAGAATAATAAATTATATGTAAAGATACGTAAATACAGAAATATACTTTACCGATGTTTGAAATCAATTCACCTATTGACAAAATGATAATCAACAAGTAATGTAGGCAGAACACCACGTAGCCAACGCTACGGCATACGAATATTATTATATATGTATAAAATGACCTGGCCATGAACATTTTCTTTTAATAATTTCACAAAAGCACTGCATAAATAATATTAAACAAAAAAGTTTAAGTATTTATATATTAAAACGTGAAGCAAAAACCTTAGTATAGCACTTTACAAAGATTGCGCGGGCGGAGATGTATGAAATTTCACACACTTATAGTACACTCCTTGTGCAAAATGTTAATATTTTTTTTTAACTATGCATAAAAAATACACTAAATCAATTAAAAAAACATTACACAGACTACCAAGTATTTGACACACATATATATATATACTCTTTTGTTTATTATAAGTCTGTGATCAAATTGAAAATATGTAGATTAATATTACTTGTCTATGATCTTACTAAATGTTAAATTAAATATGGTCACATGGTATACCACTTTTTTTTAATTCAATTTTAAATGGTATACATACTAGACTTGTTATTTATGATTTTTTTTTCTATTATTAACGGGGTCTTAACACGACTAATTTTATAGCAAAACCGGATCGAAACACGAAAGTTATAAAAATAACTATTGTTATTTATGAGTAGTTTTTTTTTAAAACTGAAACTTTTAAATTAATCCCAAACTATGAGTCTCTTAAAGAAATTGCAACAGGCCCAGAGCTGGCTCAATTCGTCACTGGATGTGACCATTACCGTCGACGGTGTGGTGACGTCCATATCTATTGTATTGTTCAGTTTTTGTTTGATTACTTTCCGGATAACGCGCTTTCCAAATAAAAAAAGTGCTTATACTTGTAATTTATATGTATATTGCACTTCCACTCAAATTATCATAAAGCAAACAACACTAAATTTGTTTTACTTAAATGCGGATATTAGAGTCCAACTTATAAATAAATAAATGACCCTGGTCAATTAAAACAGTTCAACAGTATGCAGAGCTTCTATTATGGGTACTAGACAATTTTGCAAATACTATACATACACTATATATATATAGAGAAAACAGCCAAACCGATACAAACAATCATACTCATGAATACAAATGTTTGCACCGTGAGAGGAATCGAACGCGTCGCCGCGTCGTGGTTTTGATTCGTCTCATGTCATCGAAAGTAAAGCGGTGTTCTAAACCATACGTCATTATCATTATTACATAGTATAAAACAAAGTTGTTATCGATGTCTGTCCCTATGTATACTTAAATCTTTAAAAATGCTTAAAAAAGCAATGGATCTTGATGCGGTTTTTTTTAAGGTAGAGTGATTCAAGAGGAAGTTTTATATACAGATAGTACATGTACCCGCGCCAAGCCGGGGCGAGTAGCTACTAATATAAAATCCTGTTGTTCTTATTCTGCTCTCAAAGACCCGAAAAGGACCAAAGTAAAATTTTGGAACCCTCTTTCTCTTACAATTTGCTTGTTTTAGTTATAACACTATTTGAGCGATATATAACCCTCTGTAACATAACATAAAAACCTTCATTGGTTACCTTGTCAAAGTGACATCAGTGATAAGTGCAAACATTTATTGTACCAGTTATATCAAAGTATGTATTAAGTAATCTGTGTTTACACCAATATAGGATTAATGTGATAAGGTACAAGTGTTTACACAATTACACAGCACGTAACTAATGGCGTAGAACCTTAAAATTTGTAACAGGCCTTAGCCCATTGATAAAATGAGTATATGTAATAAGTAGGTAGGCTCTAGTTGTAGTATAACTACTTGTGGGAATAACTTTCCCAATGATAATGACTGTTATAAATATATATTAATAACTACATTACAATAAATAGAGTAAAATGTGTATTATAAAAGGGAGAAAAGACTGAGGAATATATAGTACATAACACAATAATAATAGTAATAATAAGACAGACTAAAAGGCTGTTGCCACAAAGAAAGCGACAGATATTACTTTAAAACAAAAATACTCTCTTTGGCCGTTTGTACGAAAGTCTGGTGGCCCCAATGAAAACTAGCGCTTCTGTAGAACTTAGTTATGCTACAGTATACATACAGAGTGGGAGTCAATTTCAGTCTTACCAGTAGATAAATATAGTAGAATAAAACATTAATCTACTTGTACTAATGTAATGCCGAATAAATGTATTTTATTATTAATATTATTATATGTACATATCTATACATATAAATAAAATGGGAGTGTCTGTTTGTAATATTGAAATAACCGTTTTTACTATATCCATATGAATATGAATACGGTACATACTTACACCAAAATATCATTTTTTACAATGTTTGTCTGTCTGTCTGTTTGTTCCGGCTAATCTCTGAAATGGCTGGACCGATTTTGACGGGACTTATTTTGGCAGGTAGCTGATGTAATAAGGAGTAACTTAGGCTACTTTTATTTTAGAAAAATAAAGTTAAATTCCACTCGGACGAAGTCGTGGGAACAGCTAGTATCATACATAAAAACTGCTAATAAACGAAGCTACTTGGCGGCAGAAATGAGGTGAGACCGAGGCACCTTGGTAACAGAAATAGATGAAACAGAGGTAAAAGGATAGTACGTGAAAAAGACGAAAAAGACGAATTATGATATAATATCCCGTGACGGTCCTATACATACAGTCCTATAACTATCTACGGTTGAATTTTGCGGAAGTAAATCTTAAATTACAATAGCGTATCTCTACTACATGAATGATGGGATGACGCCTAATATTTATTATGCAATTACTTACTGATTACATAATAGTAACGGAAAACCACAACATATTGTAATAGATGATAAGTTTATGGTTATTAACTACCGTTAATTTAAAGAGTTTAAATAACCATAAACAATATATGAGTAAAGAACGTTG